GCAAAATTTGCAAAATTGACCGAGTTATTTAACTTTCTTACGGTCCTGTTTTTTGGACATCCTGTAGAAGCCATCTTAAATGCAGTCATTGACACTGAGGGAAATAAGTGCCATTACAAATGATTTAAATATTAAATAGAATCTAAATGAATTATCAGGAATGAAGTGAATTACGGTTGAATTTATTGTGCTACCATCTTGAAAAATGTATGCCTCGGAATATCCATGTGATGCCAGTGCTTAAAAAGCCAATTCCGGGTAAAGGCACCCTAATGCGGTTCATACGAACCAAATTTCATACAAATTGGGTGAGAGTAAGCATGCCTATAATTTGTCCATTACTTTTGAATCACCCCTCGTCTGTGTTGACTTTCTTGTATTTATTTACTGTTTAGGATAATTTACACAATTTTTGCTTTCTGAATCTCACATGAGGTAAAATATCAATGGGATAATATTAGTTGGTAAATAGTAAACCGGTTTGGCAATTCGTTGCTTGATTCCCGGGCTTGATTCACACCCGTTCCCTGATTCTGTCCTTATCAAGCCACGTGAATTTTTAGCCAAGAGACTATATTAGGTTCGAATATCTATAGCAATCTTTTTATTTGATTTTTACTTGATGCCTCCGTCTGTACAGTGGTGCCACCACTCGTTTTTGATGTGTTATCGATGCATAATTTCTGTTACTATAACCTTAGTTTGATGTTTCATACATATCCGGGCTGGGTTCTCTGATTGGCTCCATAAGTAAACAGTTGAGTATATTGGGAATGTTATTTATGTGTAATAATTGCCGGGGATTTCAAATACAGTATTTGAAATACAAGAAACATTATTTTGCTTTTCCCCGACTCCGTAACTAGACTGACAATGAACCATTAGATTCCGCAGTTAGCATGGTTAGAGGAAGACGTGATTCTCAGTCAAATATTTAACTAGATATCTCTAAACGGTGCATTACTAAAGTCTATGCCTATGCATTAGGAATAAGCATTTTGGCTATAATTTGCAATAAAAAAACGAAACATCAATGTGTTGCAAACGGAATGCCTCTGTCCCTAATGAATTTGTGATTCGATAATTTTTTCTTCTATTGATTTAGTTTTTTAAAGCTAGAAAAAATTCCAACGAGAATTTAACACGGTGTAAACAAAAATAAAAAAGTATGCAAATCAGCTGATCGGAGAGCTAGTAGTTATGTTTATTGCAGTTGCACTTCATATGCATTAAAATATGGGGGAATGTACTACAAGATACCATCTCAAAGGTACAACTAAAGCTGTTTGTAAGTATTTAACTAGAAAGTCTTAGTCCATATCACCATCACAACTTGAATCTCTCGGAATTAATGATTGGTAGAGATTAAAAGGTGGATTGGATCGAGTGGATTGGATTCATGTAAAAGGTGGATTGGATTGGGAATCTTCAAAATATGGATTTTTTAGTTGATCTCCCTCTAAGCAATTTCCTCCGGCCTAAAGTATTTTGTGATTACTTGGGTCCCTTTAAGGAATTGACAAAGCAATGACAAATACATACTTCAATTAGTTGATAGATACTCTAAAGCATTTAACTGCTCTCCCTTGTAAATCAACATTAGTAAGACATAATAAACATAGATCGGTAGATAAAAGATGTCATTCAAATTGACGTGTGGGTGTTCCCAAGACATTCTGCCATGTTCTGTTTGAATTTAAAACAGATGATATGGATCTTCGACTTGAAAAGTCTGCCTTATGATTTGTGAAATGTCTAAAATTGCGCTTGGAATGAATAAGATTGTGTATCAGGTCACCTTTCTAGTCTACCCAAGCAAAATGATATAACATCTATTATTTGACATTGTGAAAGTGAGAAGAGCATTAATCGTCTGATGGGAGATCAATATAATTTTTTAAGGAAAATCCATATTTTGAAGAATCCCGATCCAATCCACCTTTTACATGAACCCAATCCACTCGATCCAATCCACCTTTTAATCTTTACCTTAATGATTACAGGATCAATTTCCTCAATCTTTTCTCTTTCTCATCTCTAATTATCCCTGAGTATAGTACAATAACATTACTGGGTAGTTGACTACATGATTGCATTGCTTAGAAAACCATAGTGGTCACTCCACAGACACGGGAACAAGAGTTCATTCCCCTCCCACTCACTATGTATTAGGTAGAAAAAGATTTTTACATTAGCTATACAGTGACTGGGGGGGGGGGGGGTTAAATCTTCCTGGGCCTGTGGGTCACTCCATGCATGACGATGTGTGGTTTAATCAACTTATGAATGGCGTATTAATACACCGAGGGCCGTTAGCACCGAGGTGATTCATCGCCATTTATAGTATGGTTACATTACACTGCATTAGATCTCTAATATTGTATTGTCTTCATTTTGTATTGATTTTTAAATATTTCATTTTGATACATTATACATACAGATTGCGAATATAATTAAATGTTCGTTTGGGATTTGCTACTCCGTGGAGTTGCCGATTTCTAGTTGTAAGGGACACTATATTATCCTTAAAAACTCACATAGATGAACCTTATGTAAAATACCAAAAGCCGGGAATCTAATTTGAGTTAAGAGAATACATTAACAATCTGTAAAATCTTCATAATTTATACTTTATACTGTATGCCATCTCCTATGAGATGAAAACGCAATATTCCCCTTGCTCTTTGGGCATCGTCATAATCTGCTAATATGTTATTTCACAATACAAAAAAACATCACTGTATATTCTCTCTGATTTTATTCTGAAGAAGTGAACGTTCAATTTCCATATAATCAAAAGCAGGATCAGGTCTAGAAAGGAACTGTTTCAAGCAATTGTTTCAATTTTAGAACATCTTGGCCTTGTACCATTCCCTTACATTTTATTTCAGGAAAATAAAATAGATAGTCTCTCTACCATACCATACGTTTATTTTCATGTAATTCTTTACTGTTTAGGAGACTGCCACAGTTTTTGCTTTCTCAATCTTACATTAACTCCACCCTATTGCTTGAAAATGTTCACACCCGTTCCTTGATTCTGCCTTTAATTAACCCATATACATTTATTAGCCAAGAGAAACAGTTTATTAACTTTTGTCTCTCAAGGGGTCCGAATATTTATAGTAATCTTAAATACGCATGATTGTGCACATGTGGTAAATATAAGCAAGCATCAAGCTACATAATACTTTGGGTGCAAACAATTACGATTCTACAGAGTCGAAATTCAATGTTAAATCTTTTCGGGCACAACGCCCCAATGATCTCAAACTACATCTTTTTGTTTGTTACATTTTGTTTCTGTACCCTATAAAGCTTCAACTTCTTCCTTCAAAGTACACAGGGGAAAGTCTACCCGCGTATATACAACCTACCGCCGAGTAAGACACGCATATACCGCCTATCCAATGTTTGGTAAACTATATCTCATAGGAAAATGGACAATAAAGGTAACATTGGGCCACTATCAATTCCCTTGGATGGCTAGAATCGTTAGTAAGATGTTCTAGCAGGCGGAATTGGCCTAGAATTATAGTTGAAATATATTTTTATGTCCAAATTAAGAGATAAGTAAAACGTATAATGGTTTTCGGTTTGTTTTCTCATTCATATTCGCTTTAATTGATAACAAGACATACAAAAGACATACCTGGGTCGGTAAATGCATGTCATATGCATAATATATTAAGTGTCAAACTATTAGGTCAAAATAGCACTTTTGAACATCAAAATCTTCACATAGACTTAATCCTAAAAGATCCGATGTTATCGGACATCGGACCCGATGTGATCGAATAATATTATAAAGATTCGAAAATATCTTGAGTAAAGGATCTCAGAATCCGAATATCACTTGAGTAAAATCTGTTGAGATCCGATGACATCGTCGAGTTTGTTGAGTGCCGATGATGAAATAGTGTTAGGGTTACTTTTGGGAGTTTTTGAACCTTGATTTAATTGCTTCTATTAGAAGGGTTCCTCGTTATTAATTCTATAATAACATTTTGATCCAGACTGACACAACAGAAATTAGGCTATCAACACTGGAGGATAGGATAGGAATAGCGCGAAATTGCATTTAAATCAATAATATTATCCATATTTATGGATAAAAATGAATATGTTTCAAGTTCCTAATCTCTACTGGTCAATCTTTTTTTCATTTTAGTAGCCGTTCTACTGTTATCTTATTCAAAATTGAGAGCGAATGAGTATAACGGGTCTTTTAACTTTGCACAAGTTAGACCAATCAAAATATGTAACTTTTTTTCATACTCAGTACGTTTACCGTCTTGGTAGATACAAAATAACACGTACCAAAGTCATTGGATTATGAGCATAGTCAGATAGAAGTAATGATATCATCAACAATTAAAATTATAGTGATTCGAGTGAAAGCATGAATTCAATGTTATAAGAACTTTGCAGGACACAGACGTTGACGTATAGTGCTGAGGGAATTATATCATATTAACAGGAATTTTTGTGATAAACTTCATATTGAGAAATTCAATACAGTATATAAACAGGAGTTTATTAACTTTTTATTAACCTACATTTTCAGACATCTTCGGGTCTTTGCTCGGCGGTAGGTAGTATACACGCAGGTAGACTTTCCCCCGTGAAAGTACGTTCAAAGTCTTCCTTCTTGAATTGCTGCAACGGGTTTCATGTCTGCGAGAACAGTCAGCGATAAAAATATTTCCATACAAAAATGCAAGCCATATAACGTGTATAGCATACATGTACCATCTAAGATGTTGCCAATTATTTCGAAGGACATTTTCATGGAAATATAGAAACACTCGATAGGGTACATTTATGTACAGAGACAACATGCCAAATCAAGATTTGAATTTGAAATCAAGATGTTTTCGTTCCGAGGAATTAATCGGTCAGAACTATCTACTTTTGGGAACTCCCCAATATTGCATATTATACGTATAAGGGTTGTTCAATAAATGACGCACAACTAAAAGTTCTTCATTCAGGGATTTTTACTTAATGCCTTTGTCTGCCAGCTCTTCTCGCACCCTTCTAAGGTAGCCTGGATCAGGATAACCAAATCTGTAAAAATATCATTAGTCTAAAAAAGGTATACTTCATAACGTATTTAATCCAGAATTATCTAATTTCATAATTTATTATGTTCAAAATTTCATGTCAATATTTTATTATATCATTGAAAACAGCTTTTGATATCAGCCCAATGTCACTTGATTATCATATGGTGCACTATTGCCTTTAACTGAGGATTGTCTGAAGAAGCTGATAACAAAAGAGTGTCCGATGACACATTATGACTTCTGAAATATATATTACAACCATATAAACGGACAGGTGAACAGAGGGACGCCTGGGTGATCCCATTGGGTCACTGCGTGAGCCATAAATAGGGTTGCATTCAAAGGCCATTTTGTACAAGGTGTCACGAATGTATGCCCCCCCCCCTAGGCAGACATATGGCAGTGTCATAGTACGTGTCATATATCATTTTAAAGCTTATTTATTATGCAAGTTATATTGATTTGCCAAGTATCATGGTTCAACTCTCAAATTGGAAAAAGTGACAGTCGTTTTGTAGTGATTGGTCAAAATAAAATCCAGCAGTTCCTTTCAGATATGACCTTAACACGCCTAACCATCGCATAAGCAGGCGTCACCATACAGCGTCAAAAAATACAGTAGTACAGTTTTCTGTACGGTGACGAAAATTAACTGAGTTGAAGCAAAAACTATAATGAGGGTTTTAAAAAGATTAATTAGATGAAAATTAATACGATTTCGGGTGTAATGAAAACAGCATTCTCTTAGGAATGGTTTTAACTTTCTAATTATGATAAAAGTTTTTCGAGCACTGCTCGGATTTTTTCTGACTGGATCGGCCCACATAATCGACTCGAGAGAAAAGTGGTGTTTTTTTCACTTTTCGTTTGGTTATTATTTTCCCTGTCGTCTGAGAGTATGGATTATTTTTATGAGAATATGTATTTGTTATCTACACATTTTAGAACAGATGAATATTCGGCAAATAATCATTCAGTGTATTTATTTTAAAAAGATCAGAACTGTACGGTGACGCATCAGCTGTACGGTGACGTTTTCTTAGCTTCTTTGAAGTGCTCTAAGCTTACTGTTCGAACAAGAGGTAAAGAAGCGTCAGATCTACATGTACATTATCACTGGTAAGTATCAAGCGAAGGCTACAGCCGTCACCTTCGCATTTAAGATGGCGGACAGGAAGTATTAATTTCGATATTTTTAGTTTTCATGGAATTAACTATTTGAAAGTTGACGTAATGTTTTGGTATCATTTGAACTAAACCAGGCTTTTCTCTTATGACTAACAAAGATAGCCTACACAGCCATCTTTACCCCATGCAAGATATTGCATCTTTCATCCTAGAAAGTCACACGTGCAAGATGAGATTTACTTGTGACATCCCTTGTTTTAAAACATCAATAACATAGCAACAAGAGAGTTTTTGGTTTCATGATCTTTACCGTATCATACATTTCCAGTAACCTTCCATTAAGCTGTGGAAGATATCGTTGAACTGTAGCGCCCATGCGCTATATATGAACAAATGATCATACTCCAGAGTTTCCATTTCATACAATCTTAGTCTCATTTAGTTCATCAAAGCATAGCGTCACCGTACAGCTGGTGCGTCACCGTACACATTTGATCTTTTTTAAATATACATAATGAATGGTTGTTTGCTGAATCTTCGCCCGTTCTAAAATGTGTAAGTAACAAATACATATTCTCATAAAAATAATCCTTACTCTCAGACGGTAGGGAAAATAATAACCAAACAAAATGTGAAAAAAACCTTTTTTCACTCTGGTCGATTATGTGGGCCGATTCACTCAGAAAAAATCCGAACAGTGCTCGTAAAATGTTTATCATAATCAGAAAGTTAAAACCATTTCTAAGAGAATGCTGTTTTTATTTAACATGAAATCGTATTAGTTTTCATCAAATTAATTTTTTTAAACCCTTGTCATAGTTTTTGCTTCAAAGCAGTAAATTTGCGTTACCGTACAGAAAACTGTACTCCGCTATTTTTTGACGCTGTACGGTGACGCCTGCTTACGCGATGGTAAGGCGTGCTTAAAGCTCTTCAAATAGGGGTGTGGAATTTACTCTTAAAACATTTTAAGGAACCTTAGAAATGTTTCCTCGGAGTATCTACCCTCGCCGTTCTCTTTTTCCAACTCAACATCCATCTGACCCGAAAAGAATTGCTGCTGTTAAGATGGCCCGGGAGGGCACATTGACAAGTGATTTGATGTTAAATTGAAATTAATACTGGCCGAACACGAAATTTAAAAATGCATGTAAAGGAGTGGTATCGATATGGAGAACTTTTTGAACATACGTTTCTCTTAAACCAGTCATAAAAAAAATCTAAAAGTTTTACACATCGTCAATTTAATGGTCATCTTTTGAATGGTAACAATATAATTTGAAAAATATATATAAGCTTTCATCTATATTGTTTTAGAAAATACATCAAACACTTGTTCTGTTCTTGGTACCATGTTTCCAGAGTGAAATGAAACATCTTTCCGAACCTCATTGGAACAAAACGACGTAAACACAACATGTGTAGGTCTCTCAATATTGTAATTGTACAAAGGCGATTTTGGTTGATTTAAAAAAAAGTATCTTGTTAATGAAATAAAAGGTTTATCTTGATTTTTATCTATTTTTGGGGATTTTGTTTTAATTTTTTTTATACTTTTTTAAAATCAACCAAAAATTCCTTTGTATAACTATGATATTGAGAGGTCTCAAAACATGTTGTATATGCTATTTTGTTCCCACAAGGTTCGGAAAGAGATTTTATTTCATTCTCAAGAATTGGTAGAAAGGAACAAAAACAATTGCACTAAAAAAAACAAAAAATGTTAACAAAAATTATATAAAATATTTCTAAATGATTTTCGCATTAAATTGTTGTCAATCAGTCAACATTACGTAAAGTACCGTGTTTTTACAGAACGTTTTCAATGATTGGTTTAACTGTTTAAGGGAAAAACATTGTTGAATTCAATTCTCCATATCGTGCCACTCCTTTGAGAGTTGAACCATGATTCTTGGCGGATCAATGTAACTTTGGATATAATCTTTGAAATGATATATGACACAAACCACGAAAACACTGGTATATGTCTACTTAGGGGGGGGGGGGGGGGGTAGGCATACATCTTGGACACCCTGTATATTACTACTATTGCACATGCAAATCAAAATGGAGTCAAACATAAATTGACATACGGTCCTCCAGCGATTTTTGTTTTGTGGTGGATATCATTCCACGTGACCACATCTTCAGTACCACGTGTTCTTGATTGACCAATAGTGAAAATCAATCGCGCAACAAAGGCTTTCCTCAACAAGCCAAGGATCTCATTCCCTTCTTTGTTATCTGGCAGATAAGCCGTCCAGTGGACACTACGATATCTTTTTCCAGGGGATGGATGGATTTCCTGAAACATTTAAGATAGCAGGTTATTTCCATTTTTTAGTTTTAGATATCTAATAAAAAATAAGCGATAACAGGATTTTTTAATTCAAAAACGCACAGGCAAAGGTCTAAAAAAGGTATATTGTGTACTACTTAGTTTGGATATTTGTGCAATTGCGATATTTGTTAACTTCAAAAATCTAGAAAACAGCAACTCCAAGGAGTAACAGATGCCACCGAACAAAACATGTTTTGATGAAAAGACACCTTGGAAAGAACCGAGTCTGCTAATTAGTATTTGGGTTATCAACGATTACGTTCTTTTAAGAAAAATGGCGGCCATTTTATCTTGAAAATTCGAGCAAAACGCCTGTAGCCCTAGCCATCAGCATCAAAAATTTGAGCATTCGGTACACTGCTGAATAATCAAATATTACGTTTTTATGATAAATGGCAGCCATTTTGAAATTCAGCGGCCATCTTAAAAAGTCTTCTTCAGCAAAGTTCCATTGTCCATAGGGATCAGCATTTAAAATTTGGATCAAATCCGTCAACTAGTATTTGAGTTATCAAAGTTCAATTTCTTACGAAAAATAGCGGCCATTTTGAGTTAAGAGACTATTTTGAAAAAAACTTCTCGAGCATACTTTATCAATAAGGCACAAGCTCATAAAATTTGAACCAAATCTGGCAACCGGTATTTGAGAGGACGGATGGACAGAAGGCTTTCCTATATCCCCCTTGATCTTTGTTCAGTGGGATAATAAATAAATGTTAAATCAAAACAAAATTAAACTGCGTTAGCCTATATACAAAATAAAATCTTGAAAAATAAAGGTCAATTGAGAATATACCTCTTGTATTCCAGCGGGTATGTCGTATGTTATTTCAATGTAGCCATATGCTCCGTATCCAGGAAGTGAACTGGATTTAAATCTAAACGTAGTCATTTTTCCACCTTTTGGCTGATTCCCCGTACATTTACCATATGAGACACCACACACTGGACATTGTGGCCTTGCTTCCTTCAACCACTTGTCGATACAACTGGTGCAGAATGAATGACCGCACTTATCCAGCTTTTTAGGTTTAATCATCCTCCCTAAACAAATAATACACTTGTCTTCTTCCTTGATGTCGTCAACTGACGGGCTTCTCTTTGGACTTTGAGTACACTTAAAGCAGTTGCTCACTGTTGGATCTTTCGCCAAATAGTCCTTACACGAGAAACAATACCAATGTTTACAGTCCATCTGTATCTGCCCCGGTGTTTCATCCTCACATTGCACACACGTACCTGGTGGCGATGTGGCATGTCCGTGTGCGCGATCGCGAGTAGTTTTTAAACGTGCAACACCACCGGTAGATGTTATTGATGCATAACTTATGCTGCCACCGTTTTCCTGGTTTCCATGTGTTTTGGTATCTTTACTACTGCCTTTTGCAGGTCCTTCATCTACAGTGGCGAACACTATTCTATCATTGTACAGCTTACCCTTGTAGAAAACCATTTCAAAATTTGAATTAAAGTCAAGCGTTGGCACGTTTTTCCATTGCTTGAGTTTTGAATTAATTTCTATCGTCATGTTAGCAAGTTCTACGCAATGACCGTAGTCCTTTACAGTGGATAGCTGGCTCAGTGTACTTTGAACAAGGGTCTTCTGGAGCTCCAGATGCCCCAAGTGGGCTATTGTCTGCTTGGTAGATGCGTCTCTCTTCTCTGTAACGCTTTTCATATTTTGGGTGTATGTATCACGAATGTGTTGAATTGCCGCATTCATATCATTAGTCAGTTCACGTACAGCGTCATTCATCTCTGTCTCCATTTTGTGTTTGGTTTTATGGGTGTCATGTATGGCCGTTTCATAATGTTCAACCAAGTCGTCACCATACTTCAATAGCTTTTGAATTTGTTGAACATTTTCTTCTGCTACCTCTCGTATGTCAACACACTCGTGACCTGAATGAGAGATGGCGTAACATGAAGCACATACGACACATCTATCAACTTTACAATATATTTGTAAAGGTATATTGTGCTTAGGGCAGTGAATTGTACGATCTTTGACGGTCTTGAGTGCTCGTTGCATATCGTGAGATTTATCCCCGGTAAGGTCAACGGTTGTATGTCCTTGTACAAATTCATTATGACTACCCATGCATGCTTTGCATAAATGTTTATTACATTCTAGACATTTGGTGACTGCATTGATGTCTACGCCTCTATTCACGTTGCAGCTAATACACTTGGGTGTATCATCTGTTGCAGCTGCATTAAAAATCTCCACCAAAGTTTTAGTAGTGAAATTGACCTTGAAATCACCAACGCCCTTTTCAGGTACAGTATGTACTTGTCTACATTCCGGACATTTCACCGTTTTTTCATCCGATTCCTCGATCATTAGTTTTCCCAGACAGCCGCAGCAATACGTATGCAAACATGGGAACGCTTTTGGGTTATTTAAAACTTGAAAACAGATTTTACACGTAAGTGTTTCCTTTATTTGTTCCTCAATGACACCCGCCATGTTTAACTTCGATCAGCTTTACGTTGAACTGTGTTTTAACTATAAATTAAAAACATGTGATCATTGACCTATTGACTAAAGTTCAATGCCTCTTACAGTTTTAGTCTGTACGCTACTGTACATGAAATCCACACGTTACGTGTATAATACTCCATTCCTTACTTAGACTACCCTCGCTCAATCAAACCCTTATTGCTTCAGTAGGAGCTATTCATTGTTACACCTGCTCCGCATCGATTTAAGAGTTTTTTTAGCAAATTAACACTGTTCGTCTTATAATGTAATATCGGGACATATCAATTTTGGAGCTTATGCCTTATATAGCTAGTTCGCAGAAGTTCTAATAATATTCAGAGTGATTCAACAGTGAAAAACGTTTTGTTCAGTGCGTCCCAATGAAATATCGAGGAAATATAATGCTAGCGAGTTCGCAGAAGTCTGCACAATACGCCATTTCTATGAAGTATCACTTCAAATAAATAAGAAAATTATGCAGTAATCCTAGTCAATGAAATACACTTTGAAAAGAATATAATCATAGCCTCATTCATAGATGTCACATATAAAGGTAATGGTGTTATAGATAAATAAAACGTGTGTATTTTTAGAAAATGTTGAATTGGTTGTAGTTTTAATTGTTACTAGAGTTTTGGAGGTAAAAGTACACTGTAAAGCGTACACGCCTTTCTGAAAATGTTTTTTCAACCGTAACATTAGCGTTGCACCATTGTATAAAAAAAAACTAAGCACATAATGTGAGATATTAGAAACCATGAAACCTATCAGGCCTTTAGCCAGGTTTTGCCAAAGGGGTTGATTTTCTGAAAAAATGGTGAAAAACTCCATGATCTTAAAATAATTTTTCGCTACGGGCTTGTTTATGGTTAAAATGTGTAAACAGTTGAGTGTATTGGAATGTTACTTATGTGTAATAATTGCCGGGGATTTCAAATACAGTATTTGAAATAAAGTAACATTATTTGCCTTTTCTGACTCCATAGCTCGACTGACAGGTAACACCCTAGTCACATTTCCCACGGCCGCCGTGCGGTTTATCATTTCTGCGGCCAGTAGCTTTTCTACGCTCGCCGTAGAATTTCTGCGCTCTCATACTTACGCAGTCACATTTCCCATGGCAGCCGCACGGTGAATTTTAAATTTCTTTTGATAAATAATACTTTTTTCATTTTATTTACATCAAGACAATTTATAAATGTTATTTATAGTGCTAGAATGTAATATCAAATGAAAAGTGATCGTGAAACATTGACAAATAAGGAATCAATCTTGCTGAGCCAGTTGATTTCTACGGGGACCTCAGAAATGAACAGATATTATAACTCCGAGTTATAATTTCTACGGCGACCCTGCGGCCTGTAAAAAACTGGATACGCCGTACGGAGGCCGCAAGGCAGCGTAGTTTTCCTACGCTCGCCGCAGAAATTCACTGATTTAATTGATATGCGGTCGACGCACGGCCTCCGTACGACAAATGTGACTGGGGTGTTATATGAATATTTTTCAAATGAACCATTAGATTCCGCAGTTAGCATGGTTAGACGTGATTCTCAGTCAAATATTTCACTAAATATTTTTAAACGGTGCATTACTAAAGTCTATGCCAATGCATTAGGAATAAGCATTTTTGCTATAATTTGCAATAAATAAAAAAGTACGTGAGTACTGGGCTCACATGGTGTTGCTCAAAAGTGAATGATGACTAAAATGACAGAAAATAAAAAAACGATATAATTTTTTGCTGATTCTTTTGTAACAAAATTATTTCAAGCAACTTGCCACTATTTGGACTGACTGAGAGACAGCTGGACAAAATGATGTTAAGTAAAATGGCTGAAAAAACGGATATAATTTTTTGTCAATTATTTGTAACAAAATTATTTCATACAACAACTCTTTACAGTGACATGGCTTTTTGCAATGCAGGACACCTGGAATTATTTGTAAAGCTAGGAAATGGGCCAAACTTGAATTTCGCGAGACAAAAATTGCAACCATTTTGAAAATAGGCAAGCTTTTGGATATAATATTTTGCCGATTTTTTGTAACAAAATTATTTCATACAACTACTCTTTACAGTGACATGGCTTTTTACAATGCAGGGCAGCTTAAATTATTTGTAAAGCTAGGAAATGGGCCAAAAGTGAATTTCGCGAGACAAGAATGGCTACCATTTTGAAAATAGGCGAGCTTTTTACCATGAGTCATAGGAGAGTTTTTTGTATTGATGTTGAACAAAATAAACTTAAAACGGGAATCCTATCGACAGAGGGTTTAAGGCAAATGGTCCAAAAGTGGATTTTGCGAGACAGATGGACAAATCAATGTTAACTAAAATGGCTGAAAATAAAAAAAATGAATATAATTTTTTGCTGCTTTTTCGTAACAAAATTATTTCATACATCTACGCTTTACATTGACATGGATTTTTACAATGTACGACACTTGAAATTATTTTTAAAGCTAGGAAATGGGCCAAAAGTGAATTCCACGAGATAAAAATGGCGGCCATTGCAAAATGGATATAATTTTTCGCTGATTTTTTGTAACAAAATTATTTCATATATCTACTCTTTACATTGACATCGATTTTTACAATACAGGACACCTGAAATTATTTGTAAAGCTAGGAAATGGGTCAAAAGTGAATTTTGTGAGACAAAAATGGCGGCCATTTTGAAAATAGGCGAGCTTTTGAACCAGGAGTCATTGGGGAGTTTTCTGTATTAATATTGAACAGAAATAAATTAAAACAGGAATCCTTTCGACAGAGGTTTTAAAACGTGCCACCATTGTTGACGGACGGATGGAAAGACAGACGGACAAGTGAATGATTGCAAAAGCTCACCATGTGAGCTAAAAACGAAACATCAATATGTTGCAAACGGAATGCCTCTGTCACTACAGCACTAATGAATTTGTGATTCGATAATTTTTTCTTTTATCGATTTAGTTTTTTTAAAGCTAGAAAAAATTCCAACGAAAAGGTCCATGTGCAGTATGGCAAGTGATTTTAGACATAACAGTCATTATTTTCATCATGGGTACTTTCTGGCCATAAAGACAATGGGTTTTATTAAAACAAAATGTTTTCTTTCGAGTGAAGTCCCCATGATAGTTAAACAGCAATCCTACTCTCTGAAAAATTATGGATTATGGCCCCACCCTGGCACTTTTCAAGAAATGTTAAGCTTATTTTCTAAAAAGAGGATCTTGCTTTTCTCAACTTAACATATCAAAAGTTTCTTTTACACTAGGCCTATCTGAATAATCTCTGAAAATGGGATGCGTATTGAAATGCGTTAAAGTTAAAAACCACATATCCCATGTTATTTTCCCATAGGGAAAGTTCGTGCTATCCATTGTTTTCAGCATCATTTTGGTCATCGAAAATAGATATCTTCCAAACTAGATCGACTTTCAATGCAATTATATATTTTTGAAGATGTTTTAGACCCCTTGTTGAATAATCTTTTCATGCAATAAAAATAAGAAAAGGGAGATCTTCTTTTGAGTAAATAGGTTCAATATTTTGAAAAAATGTTAACATAATCATTTCAAAATTTCATATTCAATTTCATATTCAATTTCTATTCATAATTTTTCGAATTGTTCGATTGATATTTTTATCATCATGGGTAGTTCACTTGAAAAAAACATATTGTTTTAATGAAAACCACTGTATTTATGCCCAGAAAGTAGTCATAGTGAAAGATATGACCGTCTAAATCACTTGCCATACTGCACGTGGTCTTTTAACACGGTGTAAACAAAAATAAAAAATATGCAAATCAACTGATCAGAGAGTTAGTACTATGTTTATTGCAGTTGCACTTCATATGCATAAGAGTGTGGGGAATGTACTACAAGAGACCATCTCAAAGGTGCAACTAAAGCTGTTTATAAGTATTTAACTAGAAAGTCTAGGTCCATATCACAATGACAACTTGAATCTTTTTCGGAATTAATGATTACAGGATCAATTTCCTCAATCTTTTCTCTTTCTCATCTTTAATTATCCCTGAGTATAGTACAACCAGAACAACGGCAACGCCAAAGCGTAGCGAAACCCATCGAACAACAGAAATGGCTGGCATTTTTACAAACAAATAGCAAATATCATAAAACAACACACCAGAAAGGCACCATTTTCAAAATGGTTGCTCACTAGCCAAGTTGTCATCAGAAGAAATAATATGCTTTTAAGTAGTCACTAAAATTTTTGAAAAATCACACACGTACTTGTAAAATAACGGGGACGCACATAAAAATGGTGGCCATTTTTCAAAATGGCCGACTACTTCCCAAAGTTTTATTAGACAATGTGCCATGCTTAAAGTATTCACATATCAAATATGAACAAAATCGCTCCACTACTTTTCGAGTTATAGTAAAATACGTTAAAATGGCGGCCATTTTTCAAAATGGCCACCTACTAAAAGTGTCATTAGAATTAGACAGTGTGCCATGTTTATAGTATTCACATACCAGATATGAACAAAATCGCTCCACTACTTTTCGAGTTATAGTAAAATATGTTTAAATGGCTCTTTCAAAATTGTTTTTCAAAATGGCCGCCTTCTACCAAAAGTGTCATAGGACAGTGTGCCATGCTTATAGTATTCACATACCAAATATGAACAAAATCGCTCCACCACTTTTCGAGTTATAGTAAAATACTTTAAAATGGCGGCCATTTTTCAAATTTTTTTTCAAAATGGCCGCCTTCTACCAAAAGTGACTTTAGACAGTGTGCAATGCTTATAGTATTCACATACCAAATATGAACAAAATCGCTCCACTATTTTTTGAGTTATAGTAAAAATCGTAAAATGACGAGTAAAGGCCGCCATTTTTCAAGATGGCTGCCATGTGCTTCTTTGATATCTACATTTGTAGCATTATTAATGTCCTTTATAATTTTTTTACATTTAAAACATATTGCTATTACAGTTTTACATATTGCACCTAAATTACTGTAAAATCGGCACTAAAATGGCCGCCATTTTGAAATGAGCGGCCATTTTGAAAATCGGCTTTTGAGCAGAACTTCTACCCCCATAGGGTATATGTGTACAAAATATGAACACAATCGGGCCAACAGTATTTGAGTTATTGCCCGGACGGACGGACAGACGGACGGATGGACGTACGTACGGACGGACGCGTTCCCTATATCCCTCCGAACTTCGTTCGATGGGATAATAAAATTATTGGGTAGTTGACTACATGATTGCATTGCTTAGAAAACCATAGTGGTCACTCCACAGACAAGGGAACAAGAGTTCATTCCCCTCCCACTCACTATGTATTAGGTAGAAAAAGATTTTTACATTAGCTATACAGTGACTGGGGGTGGGGGGGGGGGAAGGTTAAATCTTCCTGGGCCTGTGGGTCACTCCATGTATGACGATGTGTGGTTTAATCAACTTATGAATGGCGTATTAATACACCGAGGGCCGTTAGGACCGAGGTGATTCATCGCCATTTATAGTATGGTTACATTACACTGCATTAGATTTCTAATATTGTATTGTCTTCATTTTGTATTGATTTTTAAATATTTCATTTTGATACATGCAGATTGCGAATATAATTAAATGTTCGTTTGGGATTTGCTACTCCGTGGAGTTGCCGATTTCTAGTTGTAAGGGACACTATATTATCCTTAAAAACTCACATAGATGAACCTTATGTAAAATACCAAAAGCCGGGAATCTAATTTGAGTTAAGAGAATACATTAACAATCTGTAAAATCTTCATAATTTATACTTTATACTGTATGCCATCTCCTATGAGATGAAAACGCAATATTCCCCTTGCTCTTTGGGCATCGTCATAATCTGATAATATGTTATTTCACAATACAAAAAAACATCACTGTATATTCTCTCTGATTTTATTCTGAAGAAGTGAACGTTAAATTTCCATATAATCAAAAGCAGGATCAGGTCTAGAAAGGAACTGTTTCAAGCAATTGTTTCAATTTTAGAACATCTTGGCCTTGTACCATTCCCTGTCAATACAGATTTACATTTTATTTCAGGAAAATACAATAATTTCATATACCTAAAATTAGTCTCTGATTCTATCTACCATGTGTTTATTTTCTTGTAATCCTTTACTGTTTAGGTGACTGGCACAGTTTTTGCTTTCTGAATCGTACATACCTCCACCCCATTGCTTGAAAATGTTCACACCCGTTCCTTGATTCTGCCTTTAATTAACCCATATACATTTATTAGCCAAGAGAAACAGTTTGTTAACTTTTGTCTCTCAAGGGATCCCATTATTTATAGTAATCTTAAATACGCATGTGCACATGTGGTAAATATAAGCAAGCATCAAGCTACATAATAGTTTGGTTGCAAACAATTAGAATTCTACAGAGTCGAAATTCAATACTAAATGTTTTCAGGTACAAAGCCCCAATGATCTCAAACTACATCTTTTTGTTTCTGTTCACATTTTGAGGACCCTATAAAGTTTTAACTTCTTCCTTCAAAGTAACTTCAGACTTCCTTCTTGATATGCTGCAACGGGTAACTTTAGATAAAAGTGAACATTTGAAACGCCAATCTTCGATCTGTGAATAGAAACATACCGTTACCCTGGTGACGTTAAAAATGTACATGTCTGCAAGAATAGTCAGGAACTGTGATATTTCCATACAAAAATGCAAGCAATAACCTACCATTAAAGATGAAGTCAATTATTTTAAAGGTGTTTTTTTAGAAATAAACACTCGATAGGGTAGGTTACATTACAGCACACTGTTATATTTATGGAATCTTGGTCCATTTACGGAGACAAAATGCTCAGCAGTTTTACTTCCAAGGAATTGGTCTGTCCGAACTCTCTGTTTTCGCGAACTGTTTAACATTGCATGTACACGGGTCATGCAAAAATGTACATCAAATAGTTCTTCATTCAGGGATTTTTACTTTATACCTTTGTCTTCCAGCTCTTCTCGCACCCTTCTAAGGTAGCTTGGATCAGGATAACCAAATCTGTAAAAACAGTTAATTTATTTATCAATTAAATTCTCAACGAAATATTTTTGTATTGTCCAAAAAGTCAAATTATCTAGAAATAACATGTAATCTGGCAGGAAGGATGACCAGGATCAAAGAAGAAAATACAAAGTGACCAAATATTGAAGCCAAACTTTTAAGATGGACGTTTTGATAATTATCATAAGAAAGGGCAGCAAATATCATAAACGCCTCCCAATAGCAGACGTTATAATGCAATGCTGATGGACCACTTTAAAGTTGAATAATCTCCACTTGAAGTAGGTCTCAAAGTTTACTATACAAATGGTTTCGTGATCTGACCAGAGTCCACCCGTGTAGCTCAGCGGCAGCGCAGGTACCTCTTACGCAATAGGTCCCGGATTCGATCCCCGGTTCAGGCAAGACTAAATTTGCTTGTTTGCGTGAAGTACTTCAGGGTGTTTGACTGAGTGGTCCGCAACTCGTACAAAAGGCTGTGGTGTGTACTTATATATCTATGTATAAGTGCACATAAAAAAACACAAGGCTCCTTCGAGGAGGGGTTTCTGGGTCTATCTTCCATGTTAATTACGTAAATTACGACCGTATATAAAAACGGGACATACCCAAGAGGTATTGCTCACCTTCATTGGTGGTAAACAAAATACAATACAATACAAGACAGGGGGTTGTTCTGGCCAGCATATCTTTAACATAATGACTAAGAAAGTGAGATGACACAGCTAATAGGTGTTTTCAATTTTGGAATGACAGTGCGCATTAGCTTATACTATTTGTATTTGTTAAGAACTAGATTATAAAATCTTTTTGTGACTTTGAGAAAAGGCAGCATGTAGCATAACGTCGGATGAACCGAGACGTTGGAAAACCGAGACAATTTGGAAAATGAAGATACCTGATCAAACATTATCGTGGATAGTTGACATAAAATGTGTTTTCATACGACCTTATACGAAAAACTGTTTAATAGTAGCACTGGCGGATCTGGGGGGGGGGGGGGGGTTAGGGGCCCAATTTTTTTTTCGCGAAAGCGCAGAAGTTTTTTTTCAGACCAGAAGTTTGCTTGTTGGTTCCCGGATCCGTCCCTGAGTTGAAACGAATCATAGGACGAGTAAACGGATAAACACTCAGCTGACCACATAGGCTAGCCACAAAACGAGAGTTGAATTTATAAGTTGTATTTAATTACATGAAACATCAAAAGAAATCAAAAAGTGTAAAAGAAATTGACGTACGGTCCTCCATCGATTTTTGTTTTGTGGTGGATATCATTCCACGTGACCATATTTTCAGTACCACGTGTTCTTGATTGACCAATAGTGAAAATCAAACGCGCGTTAAAGGCTTTCCTTAACAACCCAAGGATCTCATTCCCTTCTTTGTTATCTGGAAGATAGGCAGTCCAGTAGACGCCACGATATGTCTTTCCAGGAGATGGATGGATTGGCTGAAACATACAAAGTTATCAGGTAATTTTAATTTCTAACAAGTTAGTTTAAACTTAATTATGTAGTAAATAATAAGTGAGAAGAGGGGATATTTAAAAGGTACGCAAGTAAATGTCTTAACCATGTAAAATGTGAATCAACTGTGTTATATTTTGTATACTATTTGAGCATTAATGATATTTGTTAACTCCAAACTCTGTATAAAACCAATAAATCAAAATGTAAAATCAGATAAATAATACTATGTTTTGAAAATAATTCTTAACCAAACCAAAAAATGTTTATTAAAACAAGTAAAAATTAATTGAGAATTGACCTCTTGTATTCCACTGGGTATGTTGTATGTTATTTCAATGTAGCCACATTTATCAAATCCGGGAAGTGACTTGTACGCATATCTAGTTGTAGTCATTTTCCCCCCTTTTGGCTGATCCCCCTTACGTTTACCATACGAGGCACCACACACTGGGCATTGTGGCCTTGCTTCCCTCAACCACTTGTCGATACAACTGGTGCAGAATGAATGGCCGCATTTATCCAGCATCTTCGGTTTAATCATCTTCTCTAAACAGATGATGCACTTGTCTTCTTCTTTGACGTCGTCAACTGACGTGCTTCCCTCGGGACTTTTAGCACACTTAATGCAGTTTCTCAAGGTCAGATCTTTCGCCAAATGGTCTTTACATGGGTAACAATACCAGTGATTACAGTCCATTTGTATCTTCCCAGGTGTTCCATCATCACATTGTACACATGGGGTTGGTCGAGGAGTGGGGTGCCCATGCGTACTAGTGGTTTTTGAACGTGCGCCACCAATTGATTGTGTTATCGATGCATAACTTTCGCTGCTTTTACCATAATCTTGGTTTGATGTTTCATACATATCCGGGCTGGGTTCTTTGATTGGCTCATATGTATTCTTATGTGTATACCCAAGGAATTTCTTAAACCCTGTTATGATATCATTGGTTGTTTCTTCATCTATGTTGACGAACCTCACATCCTTTAACGTTGTCTTTTTGCCCTTGTCCTGGCTAAACGATTTTACCGCAGTAAACATACATTCCACGCAAACATCTCGTGGGACTCCAAATATGCCTAGAAAAATACAAAAGATATTGAAAAACTATTGAAAATCTGTCCTGAACAATCCTAACCAAAAGAGTTATTTTCTATCAATCATTAATTTATTCACATTTTTGGTAGACATACCAGTAGGTTATTCGATTTGTCTCATGCTAATCCAAGTTCAAAATTTCGCAGGGGATTGCCAAATCATAGTAAAATGTTTCTTATCGGAGACTTGGTTTCGTGTTTCCTTGTGTTCCAGGAATCCTTGTGTTCAAGGATAAATTCAATGAATTTCTTTTTTTCAAAATATTAATCTTACGATGTACATTTTAGTAATAATGCTGAATTCCAATGAGTTATGAACAGTTGAACAGTTTGAAAATCTACTTTTCCACAGTACTTGTTTTGCAAAATGCACTTATTGTTTTCTATTTAAATTGTTACTATTTTATCTGATAATACATACTATAACTAATTGACTTCATTTAACGAGTAGACACGCATTTGTGTTTTCTGATTATTTGAGATTATATTTGCTATGACGAAATGAAGAAAATATTAAAGCGTGTACAATAATCATTGCAGTCATTTATAATAAATGACTAATGCATTACCTGAACTTATTGCAGGAATCGTCACAGAGTTTGCCTTCAATGAGCTTGCTGTTCCTAAACTGTTGTAAAATGTCCTGGTCAACAGATCACGACATCTCGCTTTGTCAGGATATCTTTCCCATCTAGGCCCAACTGCATGTACGATATATTTGCATTTCAAGTTGTTCGTTTTAGGCACTGTAGTATATACTGCTTCCGACACATCGAGAGGCTTATGGTTACGGTTTTTCATGAGGTCGTCACTATCCTTCTGTATCTTGTATCCCCCTGCTTTTGCAATTGCACCCGCAACCCCGCCTCCATGATTTAGGCGGCTATTGGCAGCATTTACTATGACATGTGTTGTCTGCAACGTTATGTCCCCTCTGTAGACTGATACTTTGATTCCCTCAGTAGTTGTAAAGTTAAGATTACCAGGTGAAATTAATGATGTTTCACGGGGAACTGAAAGTTGACGACCGGATCGCAAGTCAACCTTATTTTCTTCACTATCCAATTCATTTTCCTCTTCTTCTCGAGTCTTCATGTTGTATCCGAGTGCTTTCTTAACATCAAACATTGCCTTTTGGATCTTCCCTTTCGGTCCCATTATTTCTATAACGTTGTCATTTATGTGAATGAGAATCTCTGTAGCTTGAGAATCCTTGACTATTTTTTGTACCTTTGAATTATCTTTAAGGTCTTCATGAGAAACCGTTATTTTATCCTGTGACGTAGTGAAAGCCAAATCCTGGTATGTATTTATCAATGCGTCATATCCCTTCTGAATCTGGGGTGTTTTTCCTTTGCCCGGTAACACTGTTAAGGTGCTATATTGATCACCGTCTGTTATGTTAAATGTCACATCATAGTTTTCTCTGATCACCTTTAACTGTTCTTTTTTCTTCTTTCGGAGATATTTCAATACAATTCTTTCCAATTGCAATTCTAATTGATGTTTTTCTGACTGCTTCTCGAGTACCTCCTTTGTTCCGGTTTCAGACTGGACTTTAGATGTCTTTGACTCCCTTTTATCCGAATTTGCTTCTTTGAACGATGCGAATACAGTTTCGGTAGTCGCCGAAAGGTTATTTACATCTACATCTTTGTTGGGTGATAAAGAAATGGACCTAGGTATACTTAGTTCTTCTTGGGCATCCATATATGACTCCGAATCAGAACTAAGAGAAGACTTGCTTGATCTTTGATTTTCAGTTGCATCTGAGGTTTTCTTTCTTTGAACTTTGCTTTCAATTGAATTTGATTTTTTGGCTGTCCCATTGTTTCCTCCTCCCGATGAAAGATTCTTGTCTTTACTAGCAATTCCATTTGCACTGGGTCCTTCGGTACCTTTAACTGGATTTCCCACAATCGAAATTTGTGAAATATTTTCATGATGAACAGATTCATCCGTGTCAATTTCAATACAGTGACGATTTTGAAATACACCACTTTCCAACTTATTTCTTGGTTTCAATTCATGTTTGACTTCATCTGTATCATTTTTAACATCAAGAAGAGCAATTTCTTCATTTTTATCAGCAAGTTCACGACCAAGTCTATGAATTTCAGTTTTGGCATCTACGAGTTGCCCATGAACAGAAATGTTATTTTCTTTTATATCAATGAGCTGTTGTTCAAGCTTAACTTTCTCTCTGTGAACATTTACACACTCTTGTTTAGTACAATGACCGTGAAGTTGTTGTTCGAGTATAAATTTCTCTTTGTTAACATTCATGAACTGCTGTTTACTAAGACTGTGTTTCTCTTTTTCATCAAGAAGCAGTTGCTCAAGATTTTTAATTTCTCGATCCCTATCGCCAAGCTGATTTCGAAGCTTATCTTTTTCAGTTGTGGCATTCGAAAGGCGTTGGAGTGTAGTATCTTTCTCTTCCTTTTCGTCAAGAAGTTGTTGTTCAAGCTTTTTAACTTCTTGATTTCTTTCTTCCGTTTTCTCATGAAGCTGTTCCTGCCAGTAATTTATTTCTCCGTCTTTAGCAAGGAGTTTGTGCTTTACATCATCCATGTCTAATTTTAATTTATCACGTTCCCTTTTTAATGCTTTTATTTCCGCATTATGTTTTTGTTTTAGTTGTTCCAGACGAGTGTCCAATTGAACTTTATCTTGATTGATATCTTTCTTGTTTTTTGAAACAAACTTCTCTTCTTCAGACAATTTCCCACCAGCGCTTGTAGAGGCATGTGGATGTGCATTTTCTTCCCATTTCTCATCTTTCTTCCTATAGACATTTCCTGGTTTTGTAGACTTTTCGTTTACAAAGTAATCTCCTAACATACCTGGGCTCATCAGTCGAATACGGTCTTTAGATTTTATCTGTTCATTTCTTGTTGAACTTCTATTTTCTTGAATTGTGGCATCTTCATGTTTAAATATATCATCGCTTTTTTCCTTCCTATAACAACCATGTGTTTTTTGCTGTCGACTTGCTTTGTTGTGGACTGATTCCCTGCTATCATTCTTTTCTTCATCTGTTACAGTTTCTTCTTGAAATTCTGCCGACGGCCCATCACTTTGTTGTTTGTTCATGTCTCTCCATTCCATGTCCGCCGTTTTTGATTGAATCATGACTTCAGTTTTCACAATCGGGGTTTGATTACTAGTATCACGATTTCCAGTACCAGTTGTACGGCTGAAGTTACTCTGCCGGTGCACAGGGGCAACTTCGTTTCTTTCTGAACGATAGCCTTCTTCATTTCCTTCGTATCTTGCATTTGTCTGAAACGTCTTTTCCAATGCCTTTTCTTGATACATTTTATATTGTTCCTCTAATACATTGTAACAATGTTTCATTCCATCCCAAGATCCTTGAAATATCAACTCTTGTTCTTTTAATGATATATCTATTCCCGTTTCAGATGCCAATTTTTGCAATCTATCGCTTCCATCATCCATCATTAACTGTAACCATTGGTCAGCAGAGGCAGTTAATCCGTCAAACACTTGGACCTTAATGCAGAAAAGGAATCATCGACAATGAAATAGGCTATTTGCAATGGTTAAATAAAATAAGATGTTTCCAGACAGAAAGTATACTAAAGAATTCCAAAATGCCTGACAAAATGTCACCACCTGGTTGCAATTAAAAAAATGATTGAAAAGGTGAGAAGTGATTTAATACAAATGAACTCTTGCCATGAAATTGCCAATAAATGCTAAAAGTTTCTTTCTGTTGACAATGAAAACAACGCGAATACTAATTAATAGAAAAAAAAACTTGTTTGCTGAGAAATGTATGGCTATAAAAAGGGATGACATATCAATTTTGCAGTGATTACAAATACATATCCATACATTTTATACAATATATTTAAACATAGCTATTATTCAAGGTAAAAATAAGAAAATACACAACGTATGCCAAAGTAATCAACAACACTGTCAATTTTGACGCACATCAAATTACCCACCATTTCACCTGATTCTGATTGAAAAATGCCTTTGTGATTGCTATTTGGATGCGTTTGTTTTTCTGATTTACTCAAAATCGTGCAAGCAAGGGGACGCAAAACAAAAGATCTACTTCTTATGGCCTTATGTATAGCCAAACAATTCCATCATTAAATTTAATCATTAAGTCACTCATTCTAGGTGGAATATATAAAAACCATTTTATAACACTAAATATATCACTAAAAGAATATGTTCACGGCATGGTAAAATATGTTAGATACACTATATTTCATGACTTTCTTACTGACAATAACTCAGATGCCAGTAAGTAGTTACCAGTTTCACCACCAGATGGCTCATTCGGGTCAGATAGCATGGCGGGTATAGTGAAAGTTCCCTTTAACTTACATATTCATCAGTTTTAGTGGTTTAGTTTTCCTATCACCCTTATGTACTATCTTATATTTATGCGAATTAAAATATGTCCAGTAAAAGAAAATATTATCTGTCCAATACAAGAAAAGATATTTCACTTTTTGTGATCTTATCACATGGGGTTCATAAACGATTTTCTAAACCACATTTTTAGATGTACTTTTACATGTAGATTTCAAATATGACATCATTTCACTGAATTACTATTTATTGGCTGCTCCCCCTCCGTTCATTTTCCGATTACCAGGCTTTGTTCAATTCATTCTATATTTAAAAGAACAGCCGAGAGGTGTCGTATAATGGATTTAATAGTCCTGCTACACTCTTAAATCAAGCAAATCGAGGCAATAGTGATTAACAAACATACAGGGTGGCCAGATAGTAATTAAAGTTACAAAGGCTCACATTTTAAGATATTATCAACTAAAAGGGGTGTCACTGATTGTACAGAGTGTTCCTGGCATCTTAAACTATTGAGACTATGAGAGGCAAGAACAATTAACTCGTAACAACACAGCACCAGTGATGAATGCATCGACATCGTTCATATATCATAAAACATGTCCCTCCTGGTTTCAACTGTATGTCATTCATTCACACCGGGTAATGGGTGGCCGAATTAGCCATCCTTTTGAACAGTGTTCCGAAGTCGGCCTAGGACCAAGTTTTTGACACTGCAAAAATGAGTGTAAGGGCCATTGGAAGATCTCCAGACCCGAATTGTTGTGACTTTTCCCTTTGTCTGGGTTGGGGCTATCTCCGGAGAAAGGTGTTCACCAATCCTCCATCAGACATTGCAACACAATTTGAGAAAGATTCGCCAACGCCGAACTGTTCTTCCGACTGAAGCCTCGTACGATATAAGATAACGGGTAAGTGGGGGGAGTGGGGTAGATCTGCTCCCCCCTTTAGATCTAGGAAACGAACAATCGTATGACAGCATGTTAGGTATCATTGGAAAGGTTATTCAATTTCCAGTATTGTGAGTTTACTTATAAGTATATTGAGCCATAATCAATGAAGAAATTCACATTCTAAGAACACAGGGGTTTATCGTTTAAAGTCAAAACTACTGACAATTCGGGTATATTGGTTGCTTTGACCATGGGCTTTCAACTAGAAGGGTAGGCAACTTCCCATATTTCATACATAAACATTGCCATGGGTTTTCAAAATTGGAGAATGTACACATTCCAAGAATGTCTTATTTTGTACTTTTTATTGATGATTAAAAGAAATAACTCAAAAATAAAAACATGATCTTCTACATACATCTTGATAATTTAATAAAAATTGGAATTCATCATAATTTTGACAATACAGAAAGTGAACATTCTCCCACAAATTATGTTTTTATTGGAATGTGTTCTTGAATAATTACCCACAATGCAATACTCAAAGAGAACATCTTGATAACTCTTATTCTTATTGGTCTCTTTTGTTTACTTTTATATGATTTTGAATATATTTTATGCTTAAATCATATTAAAAAATGATTTTTATTCAAAATAATACTAAAACATATACATTTATCTAATACTTTTTGAAATATTGCCATAAAAGGGAAGCATGTCATTGCTCATTTTGAAGGTCTCATGTTATTACATAGAGTTGCATACCCTTCTAGTTGAAAGCCCATGCTTTGACCAGCTGTAACTTTCTCTTAGGGGGATCTTCCCCTACCTTACCTAACCGTTTAACATCTAGCTGTTTGTGTCACACCTGCTGCACCTTATTTCACTAGCACCTGGCCCCATACACTCACTTTTGCTACTTTTAAAATTTAATCCCGAGCTGACTTGGCCCACTGTGTAAAGGAAATGGTTATTCGGCGAAACATGGCCCCTTATAAATGAGTGACATAGTATTGCGAAGAGGAGAAACGCAGCTTTATGGTACATTGAATGAAACCAATTAAGTCATCACTTGTTCTGGAAGGGTAGGCAACTTCCCATATTTCATACATAAGCATTGGTTTTTCAAAATTGGAGAAGAAATGCTTCCTGTACACATTCCAAAAAAAATCTTGTTTTGTGCTTTTCATGTATGATTTTAAGATAACCCAAAAATAAAAACATGATTACATGTATCTGCATACATGTTGATAATTCAATAGAAAATGGAATTCATCATAATTATAGCAATAATGAAACTGAACATTCCCCCACAAGTTATATTTTATTGGAATGTGTTCTTGAATAATTACCCACAATGCAACACTCGAAGAGAACATTTTGATACCTCTTTTCCTTATTGGTCTTGTTTGTTTACTTAAAATAACATTAACTCGTGTTTCGTGTTGTAATCATATTCAAAATTGATTTTTCAATATTGTGCTAAAAACATATATAATTTTAATCCATGGGCTTTGAAATATTACAAAAAAGGAAGCATGGCAGCGCTCATTTTGAAGTTCCCATGTAATAACACAGAGTAGCATACCCTTCTATTGAATGCCCACGGTTTAACGAGTTAATTATTGGTTGCGTTTTAGGCGCATCTACATTAAGGTAATATTCATATTCCACAATCTGTAGCAATATTTCATTTCAAAACAAGTAAATTTCTTAAAATCAGAGACCTTATACTATAGTACCCCACACACTAATTAGTCACAAACTTTTAAACTTGTTTTAAACATTTTCCCTTTATTCAATCACCATGAAATTTTTCACAGCTAAATTAGAAACAATTTCCAACACTTTTTGATTTGTCTAACTATGCCAGGTGTTCATTTTGCAGAGAAGTGAAGTTGTTACATTGTTTCGCATTTTTTCACATTTTGTTGCTATTTTGTAGCAAAATTGACCTTTTGCTGCTCATTTTGAATTTGTTTACCATGGTAGCACCAGACAAGTCTAGTGATGATGTGAATCTTGATAAAATTTATGACATGCATTACGGATTCATCGAAGGATTCAATAATGCTCTTGATCTGGGACTAACACTCGATGATGTGTTTTATCAAGACGAATTCCCCATATTTGAAAACTCATTGCCTTCCTTAGGACGCACACGCAAAGGTACCAAGTTATACGCCCGCTCAGCATACCGTCCTGCTCGTTATACATGCTCAGCTGTAATATCACAGTCGCAGTTTGTGAAGGTATCTCTCACAAAGAGGAATGCAGATGACTCCGTGGTCAAGAAGTTTGCAATTGCATCTGAAGCCAGGAATCGATATCTTGGTGGTCCAGGACTTCACCGGCTTTTACCTAGGGGGTCAATCCTAGTTTGGGATAGATTAGGACGCTCAGGGAGGGCCCTGAATCCATGCAAACAGCATTACAATCCTGAAGTCAGGGTAAAATTAGAAGAAAATGGTGTAAACGTAGTGATGCTACCTCCAAAGGGCCATCTTCTTAATCCTTGTGAGCTCTTCAACAATAGCATCCAACAAAAAGTATCACGGTGGCATCCCCCTGGCAACCCCTGTGATGAATATGGCCAATCAATTGTAGGCCCCCGATCCTTTGAGGAATGTTTACTTGCTCTCAATGACGCGCTGTTTGAAATGAGAAACAACCCTCATGCCTTTAAGGAATTCTTCAAAAAGAGAGCTACTGGTAAAGATTTCAATAGACGCGTTGCAGGAAGTAAAGTGGCAAGACGGGTGAAAAACAGGAGAAACAGAGCCAAAGATGCCCGCCATATATTCCAGTGGCCCGGAAAGCGTATATGAATATACACAAAGACATGAACCACTGTCTTCATAATGCTATCCACCAGTTATTAAAAATTTGAAATACATATTACAGTAATGTAATGTATGACAGTAAGAGTAGAAAACTACTTAAAAAGTTGTTGATGTTAAAGTTTATCCAAGTGTCTCAATTTGTACATCTCAAAGAATTAAGCCAAATATACATAAATATAGCATAAAATGTGAAAAAATGCGAAATTGGTGCTTCATCTTAAATGACTGTAAAAATTTGAAAATTAAAATTCAAGCAAATCAAATCTGAGTGTTGGAAAGTGTTTATAGTTTGTCCATGTGAAATTTCATCATGATTCAATAAGGGGAAAGTGTTCAAAACAAGTTTTAAAGTTTGTGACTAATTAGTGTGTGGGGTACTATAGTAATCCAACATTGAATAAGCCTTATCATGATACAGAGATTATGGAGCAACGTGACTGACTGAAGACGGTCATTATCGAAACTTCATGTATGTACAGGGTGGGCCAAAAAACGCCACTTTTTTCAAGACACTACAACTTTTTTATTTTCCAACCTACATACCCCAAATTTTGCAGTTATATAGTGCCAAGGGTTCTTAGTAATAGTATAATGTAACAAGTCCTTCAACTTGGATTATATTTGATCTAAAAGGGGAGTTCAATTGGTCCGCCACCCTAATTGATGATATATTTTAGTTTTAGTCGCCTTGCTGATATTGCCGTATCAATGAAATGTTAGCTAAGTTTTTTTTCAACCTGTCTTAATTGCCAGTTTTAGTTGAGCAATTTTCTAGTTTGGATGCCTTCATTCAATCTCCTGGAGATCTCCCCATACCCTATACTCACTGGGGTTTGCATCAGGGCTATTAGTTTGGTGATCATCAGGTCGTATCAGTTCAGGAACATTTTGCAAATTATGCTTATTTCTCATGGCACACCATATGTTTAAGTGAGACGCTGGCGACATATTTTATTCAAGTAAAAGTGTATAATTCATGATCAATGGCTAGATAAAAACCTCAAGTTTCATTTGGTATGCAAATTATGATTTAATATCAAAAATTACAAAAGTTATAGCATTTTGAAAAAAAAGTGGCATTTTTTGGCCCACCCTGTATATACAGTCAGACTCTATAATAACTTAACATACGAGCACCGTTTCGAGTTACCAGAAATGGAATCTAATCATATTCATTTTTACTTATCATAATATGTTTTAAATCCCGGTTCAAAATTTTCTCGCTATTTAATGACTTGTAATGTAGTAATGCAGCTTCTGATTAATGCAGATTATTGCGTTCACTTTTCTTTCAATTCTTATCGGCTATTCATAAATTACTTACTTCGTGGGGCATTTCTGTCATATGCTGTATTGTTTTGAGGATAATGGCATATGCACTTTTAACACGGTACCAAGATCCGACAAGTTGCAGACCTGTATTGCTGCTGTTGTTGTACAACACCAAGCCCGTTCGTTCATTAATATAGTTGCATAGGTAGTCAGACAACGCAGATGTGATGGTTCTAGATATTTCAGCTTTCACGACTTTAAACATCTAAAATGATAAAAATGACCAAAAAATAAAACGAAATGAAAAGACAAGCAGACTCGTCAATCATCCGAAAGAAATTTATGTAACGCAATAGTGTGTGCAAAGATCACCTTTCATCTTGCACATGCATGAACATGAAAATGGCTCCTGAGGGTAAGATGACAGAACCTGAGTTGTCATAAAATAAAAATATATAAACAGAAAATGTGACGAAAACAGAATATTACTAGTACCGGCCTGTATACATGTAACAGTTGTTACCTGAACTGGGAACCTTTCAATAGTCACTGGAACCTCTTTTATGTTGTATGTTTTTCTTGGAGAATTCTTACTTAGTAATTTGTAGCGATCTAAAACATAAAGAAGTGCGTCAATGCCATGACATCTCATTTCTCTACCCTGAGAAAAAACAGAAATATGTATATACCAGAATGACGTTTCTACAACAATAAAATGGCAAAACAATCGGTCTTTTTATACGAAGAATGTCAATTAAAAACAAAAATATAATGATAATATTCACGAGGTGCTAAGACAGAGAATGTTATTTAAGTTTACGAGTCTTAAAACATTTGTAGAAGGTATTTGCATTTTTATTCATTCATAGATTCATTCGAATCATCGATTCATTCGAATCCATGTAAAATTATGTAACTTTTCCTCGCTTTGACGTGGTGGGTCAACTTACCAGATGCCGTATGGAATTTCACAAGCGCAGTACCAGGACGAATTGGGTAGCTTATAAGCTTCACAGGGTGAGCTGCTTGAATATCCTGGCAACCAAGGGAGTCTTGAATATCAGAAAGTTTAACATTGCTAGGAATGTTTGTAATCAGCAGTTTATCGTCCTCTTCATCGAATCCACCACCCGGTGGCAAATCGGTTCCCGGAGTGGATAGAGAAACACCGGAAAATCGACCACACGCCATTTTTTGAAACAACCCTAAATGTCACTAAAACATATCTACAAAGAAGGTGAACATAATTTAGTAAAATTCAGTAGAAACACAATATAAAGTTCGTTTATCTCAAGTAATTTCAAGTCTACCCCTCGATAAAAATCAATGTTAAAAGGAACAAAATGCGTAAATGATGATATATCAATTTATAAAGAGTGGGCCAAAAAACCCACCCCCATAGCCATTATTTCTGATAAATATTTATTTTTTAACATGTACACCAACAATGATACATCATTTTAAAGATAATTTTATTTGCAACAAAATGATATATAATAGATCCATTTTCAACAACCCCATATAGAAATATTACCAATTATGTGACATGGGGGTCAAAAAACACCTTTTCAATTTTCATTGATTTTGCGAACTATTTCTACCAAATTTTCCTGTTCAGTTCAACATTGCAACATTGTCATGAGTCTTTCATAATCGGATATTATATATTGTTTTCATTCAGTTTTTGAACCATGCATGCTCAATAAACATGTGTATGCTTATAAAACAAATTCATTTCTTCCTCAGTCTGTCCAAATATGGCTCAATAGACCCACCCCCCGGGCCCATCCTCTGATGGGATTATTCGCTTAAGATGCGGAAGCCATTGGTTGATGGCATAACTGATGGATGCATGCGGAAGTACCATTCAACTACTAGTTATTCTTTCTTTTAGTTCCTCTACATCCCTGATGATTTCTTTCACATGTTATTTCTATCCTTGAGGAGTCCTTTTTAACACATCATGTCATTAATATTCAGAGTATATTTTGCTCCTGGTTTAAATAAAACAGGGCCTGTACGGTTTTTCCTTTTTGGGAAACACCAAGTGGACACCACTGCCCTTTCAGAAAAATGTCATCTCGATTTGAGTAGCCTTTTATCGCAAATGCTGTTTTCTACGCAAGTAATTTTTTTTACTTCAGCATTGACCCAAATTAAAGTTTTTATCATATTTGATTGAGTGTTGAGTAACATGTCTCAAATAATATTTTGTCCTTTTTCCTTTAAAGATAGGCGCATTGCCTGTTTAAAGGGATGGAGAGCGTATGATTACCCTGTGCGCAGAGTCTAGTATTAGTGTTATAAACCACGACGACGAAGCTCTCTTTTAAGAAGAGAAGTCGAACGAATGCAAAGGGTAGCGTATTATGTACGAGGCTTGGCAAATTAAATCAATTCAAATTACCAAGGCATCGACAATAGTATGGATATAGTCCTGAGTAAGGACATTAGCGGACATTAGTGATTTGGTTTTCTGAATAAAAAGTAATTTTCTCCTTCCCTACCCCATTGGAGCGCCATCTAGCGTTTGGGAAGTGAATCGGGAATAGATATTTATAGGGTAGGTCCTAATTTATCTGAAAACATGTCAGAGTTCAGTGGGAAATCTCATTTTAAGCTGGCGGCGGAGTGATTTTGACCTTGGTGATTTTACCAGAATTCTCTGAGAAATCTGACGATAGAGGGGGTTAGTGTCTTCAAGTTTATTTCTTTCAAAAATTCGGTGGACAACGTAAACTAGAGTGTTCTAGCACTTTTTATCGCAAATATATTGCAGATCTTCTGGTCCAGGGGTCATATAAATAAAAAATGCATTAATTGGGCAGTTAAATTCACGAATGTTTTTGTTTTCTTTCAACAATTTGAATATTTTAGAAGATTTTTATCATAAAATAACAAAATATCCCCTTGCAAATCTAATACAACATGTTTGAAGAATAAAAGTGGCCAAAATCAATTTTTATTTTTGACCCCCTCCCCCAGAAGACTACAGGTTAGTAGACTGGCAATATCTCAGCGACAAAGAGTGCTAGAACAATCTAGTTTGCATCCATTAAAGTCCCCGTCTAAAGTTTGAAAATATTTTTTTATCATTCATTTACTTGTCAGGACTTAAAAAGTGATTTTAGAGATTTTTGAACAAAAAATCTTTTTTGAAAAAAAAGTTGTGAGCATTTCATTTCTCAAATATTCAAATTTCCCGCCATTTTTCAAAAAAAGTAGAAATTTCTTAATCATCAAATATCTCTTAATGCATTTCAAAAAAGATTATATTTTTAACATCAATGCAAAGATTGAACAAAAGACACACTATTTCAATAATAAAATGTCATATTTAACGGGCCACTTCAATGTTTTAGCTTATCAAAAATATTTTGAAACATTGGTGATGTCACTAAGGTAACAAAAAATATTTGAAAAAAATTGAAATTTTTTTTTTCGATGTCAATCTTTTCTAAATATGCTAGACTTTCATAAAAAAACAATGTTGATTGTCTAACCAGGTTAAAAGGAAGAATAAATTATGTTTTAGATATCATTGTACCATTGGTTTCTATGAGAACTAAAATTTTGAAATGCATTTTTCTCAGAACCATTTTCATGCACTGATAAGTTCATTTCTCGCTTGTTTATCAACCGATTTTCTTAATTTTTTCGGCAAAAAACATGGGAGGATGTTTGCTATGCATTGGTATGAATTGTGGCTAATTAGAAGATATGAGTGACCTCTAAAAGTTGGTTTTAAATAAATTCACAAATTTTGGAACAAAAAGTCTATCAAAAACCACTTTTTGAAATTAAAAAAAAAAGTTTCACATATTACACTTTGATAACATTGGGTAAGACTACAATATAAGCCAAAGTGGTTTAAACTTTACATGGGGCTTTTAAAAGTGTTTTGATATATATCCAAATGCGTATAACAGGAAAACATTTTCCAATCATTTCCAGCAAATAATAAGCAAAAAAGTGCGAAAACATTTTTCCATTGAAAAGTGGGCGTCGCCCACAATGTAATCCGATGGTACTGAAAGAATGGCCGACGATCCGATCTTGTTGAAAAAAAATCAGCGAACTACCAGCACCATTTGTAACCCCATGTTAAAGGGCCGTTACGATCTGAGAACATTCTTGAAAAATGAAGCACCCTACCCGGGGGGGGGGTACTGGTCAAATATTTGTACAGGGGGGGGGGGGGGGTGCCGCTGAGACTCAAAATATCTACCGACATCTAAAGATTTTTTTCTCTAAAAATGGACCCACATATAGGGTTTTTCTTTCAAAAATAGACCCACTTCAAGGTGATTTTTAAAAAACAAGACCCACTTCGGGAGATTTTTTTCAAAAACATTACCCAGCTTTAGGATTTTTCTAAAAGTGAACCCAGTTCTATGGATTTTTTCATCAAAATGGGAACCCACATCTAGGGATTTTTCGGCGAAAAAGTGACCCACTTTAGCGGCACGTCCCCATATAGTCAATATAGGTACCCCCCGGATTCAGGTTTACTGATCTTACTACAACAATCAATGCCGTCCCAATCAAAATCGAGCATATTTTGGTATATCCATTTCATTGAAAATCACTAGCGGATCTAGACTGGGACATGGGGGGGGGGGGGGTTGCGCCCCCTCTTAAAAGTCAGAATTTTAACTAGAAATCAAAATAACTGGTTATGGATTTAATTGTCAATAACGCATTGCATACTTTGAAATCCGACCTACTTACGCTCTGAAATTGGTCAGAATGCACCAAATAGTGATGTTCAAGTTTCGAAATCTTCTGGGTGGAGAACCCCTCGGATCAGACCCCCCCCCTCCCTATTCTTGCGCTCGTTCGCTTCGCTCACCCAAGGGGTTCGCCACGGTGCACGCCACCCCCTAACAAAAAAACCTGGATCCGCCCTAGAATATTTCGTAGTATTGACGTGGTATAAGGTTGAGCCCCGGCTGTTATATCACCGAGTCAATTTCAGTGGAGATCATTTGATTATTTGAGTTGCAACACAATTGTACAGAGAAAATGTCTACATACCTCCGAACGTCATTTTCTTCTATCTAAAAGGCGCAATCTACATGGACTCAATAAAATTTCAGGTCGACTTCTAAGAAGTAGATTATTATAAGTATATCCCCGAACTTCAATAACAGCTATCACGTCGTATGTTTGCTTATTCCAAAGTTCAATGTCTCGGGAGTTTTTATTGGATAAAAAGTATCTACGCATATTTTATTATAGCTATCGATAAGGGGAATCCCCTTTATTTGCAATTTGGGATTTACATGACTGGCATATTATGATTAGTTCTCGGAATTTAGAAGGGTGAACCTGCCAATTTATAGGCTTAGATGATATCACACGATCGATATTATTTGATTGTAGTCATGAAATATTTCCGACGTTTACTTTCCAGTTTGCAACGGATCGAACTGGATTGAGAGTCATATTTTCAACAAAGAAATCGCCCTTCAGCAGTTCCCCAGCTACAGGTCGTTCCATTTGATGGCGACTGGAGCATCCGATGAGGACAGGCGACGGGAAAATGTCTCACCACCAAGTCCATCGAGCTCATCAGGCGGATTCGTGTTGGTAGACCGTGCAGAGACAGCGTCCAGTGGCAGTATTAATACACAGGTAGGCTAGGCATTATCTTTGTACCCAGTCTGATAGGACCTTGATAGATTGTAGCCCGTCGTTGAATGTTAAACACTCCCTTGTTTATAAGATTGGAAACCGAAAGTCTTCAGTTGATAGCATATCAAAGGGGGTGTATTTTTATTATCAGGCCAAATTTGAAGAAATTTGGGCCTCAAAATTTACGTTTTTTCTCGGACCTGAAATTCCCCCCCCCCCTTGTTGGTCCCCAGATCCGCCCCTGAAGCCTGTCAATGTTTGGATCCCACTTATGTTCCTTATTCGACAAAGGTTCGGGAAATGACTTTGATGTTTTGTTTTTATATCGCCATAAACATAAACAGGCTTATTAAGTGATTCAAAGTGACTTCCGGTTGCCAAACTTATTGGGGGGGGGGGGGGGTCTAGATCGAGAGTGTAGGAGCGGATCTTGAAATTGACCAGGGCTTGATAAAAATACTTTTAATAAGTGGTCAAAAGATATCTTAAAACCCGAGAAATATATCTTTATATCACAATTACACATGACAAAGAATATGTCTTTATTTGCCTTACATGTTTGACCAATGGTATTTATGCCTGTTAACACTGCATATCGATATAATAAATAACTTGTGCGAAAATGATGTTTGTTATCGGATACGTGTACTACAGTCAACAACATAGCACCTTATCTTTGACCTTGTTAGTTCTAGAAGTCATTATAATATTACACGAAGTGTTCCCATTGTGAATGCCTTCGTGTTTTACATTTCCCCGAAATGAAAGAACTTATTCATCACGTGGTTGATGGTGTGACTTGGTGAATCATACTTAGTTTCGTTTCGAGCAATTGGGCCGATATCCAGCTTTTGCTAATGGTTGGGGGGGGGGGGGGCGAGGTCAGCTCTTAAGAATCCATCATAGTTAGGGAATTTCGGGCCAAGGAGGGGGGGGGGGTGTTTCGGGATAGTTGCTGTTCGAACATATGCTCATGTGGAGTTGCGTCAGGGACAATACTTCGTCGGTTTCTGGACTGAATTTCTAAATCACGAAAATATCAATTCCGATTTTATTAACTTGTAAATAGGATTCGACCATCATGAGAAATCATGTACGATAGAACTTTTAGAGTATATAGAGTACCTGAACTAAATCATTTCCCCAATAAAGGCTATAACTAAAATTTCAATTTTGAAGCTCAAGCCTGTTATCGATTGGGTAATGTGCTTTTAGTATGTTAATGTAAAAATAAGACAGATTGATCTATAGGTACCCTACTATCACCATCTTTAATATTTACAAACAATAGTGATACTTTCCTGGGATGTCATCGCCTAATTTCGTAAACGCTTAGGTTCAGGTCGTTTTAACAAGTTTTTTACAATATTTATTTTTTAATTTAAATACTGCCTCTTTGCACACACAATGAGCCACCCCATGCAATAAAAATGTCAATCATGCTTCTGTACGAAATTCGCCAAATATAAGAATACGATCTCATAGGAAGTTATTGAAAAGGCGCAGACATCCTACACTCGGGATGATTGTTTTTCCATTAATATCACTTTTAATTATTTGCACACCCCGGCCCCTGTATATGTATGAATGTATCTGTATAGAATGTAAAATTCGTTTTGTTCAGAGGTTTTTAGCTTCTGGGAATTTCTGTGTTTAAAGTTCCGCGGTAGATTTTCCCACCTCTTTTGTTGTGTCCTATTGGATCAAGTTGATACGTATATTCTGAGTATGGTTATTGTGTTTTTTCAGACTAAGCAACCACATGAAAAGGAATACAACATGTGGGGTTCCAACCATGATGATGTAAATATGGCGCCAGATGAGCGTAACGATTCTCGAAACGATGATGACGTCCGACCCATATTATCCGACGAACAGCCTCATGGGCCTATACGATGTCCTGGACCTCCTGAAATCATCAAAAACACTGTATCTTCATGGCCAGAATCACCCAACACTAGTCCGTTTGAACCAATTCAAAATGCAAATGCTCAACATGCTTCAAGTATTTGGCAATCCCCACTGCAGGAGCATAGCATAACGGACATTCGTCCAAATCAGGCATCTCCTCACTCGACAACTAGTGACTATGGACATTTGGCATCATTTACAAATCCTTCGGGTCAAATTCCGTCTGCTCTTTTCCAGACTCCCCAAAAACCACCTGAACATATCTCGGGCTACTCGCCACATGCTTTGCATGGGTCTTTCTCTGGTATACGACTAGGGGAACCAAACCAACATATGATGCAAGGAGATTTCAACGGGAATCCAAGCTATCGATGTCCTGGCGGCAACATTGGATGGGTTCAACCGCAGCCTCCTCCTGGGTTTCAAGGACCAGTGCAACCCATACAAACCGTAAGAATTAATTTGAATCATTCGTTTTGACCGAATTGATCGTTTTCGTTTATTTAATAGAACCTCAATTTTAAAGGCAGAATCAGAGTTATAGAGATGACAATATTGCAAGCAACATTTACGACTGGTCTTCCAATAGATTCAGTTTTTATATCTCAAATATAATATCCCTCTGTAATCGCATGTAACCACATCTATAGGGAAATGAACATTATATTCTAAATAGCTTTAGTTTTACTCAAATAAAGTATGCACTATCATGAGATTTTCAGAAAAGAGACATGGCAAGGATTGACATGAGCATAAGATATTGTAAAATTGAGGAACTGTTTTGTTGAGGTTGCTCGCTAGATCTGATACTATAGTATCGTGAATAGTACATTAGACCGTTTAATTTTTTAGTTCCCAGCTGCACAAGGATTGCCAACGAGTAGCTCACAACCAGATATGATGCAACAGATGATTGAACTGATGAAATCACAGGCGGAGAGACAGAAAGAACAGGACGAGAAACAACAGGAGCTTCTCAAACAAATCGAAGAACTGAAACAGTCAAAGAGCCAGGACCAACTCCAGTGTTTGCTTGGCACCACAGAAAAAGAAACTGACACCATTTGCAAGACACCAACGAATTCGGAGAAAGGGGGAGATGTGAGATCAAGTGATCGTTGTTGTACTATTAAGGTCACTGGTCTGAAGTCGACTACAACCCAAGACACTGTGAAAATGTTCTTTGCGAGCAAAAAGCGAACTGGGGCTAAGGCGGCAAATGTGAAGTATCAGAAGGGAGATTGTGTTGCCTACATATCATATGATAACCAAACAGGTATGTTAATATCATTTTATTTCTAAGTTCTCAAAACAACTTTTCATCACTTAAATAAATCTTAAACTTTTATATTATTATATGTACAATAAATTGTAAAATAAATTCAAATGTATTCTCTGTTATAAATGAGGCATTGTATATTTACAATACAATACAATTGTATTTTTACAATACAATACAACGCCACAATGCGTCGCTAGCTAGAAGGATTGAAGTTAAACAATTCCGTTTCTAGTGTGTCAGTTTGTCTTAGTACGTTGTCATTTGTTCTGGTTGCAGAACGTGAGGAATAACATATCATTTTGAGCATGCACTAAGTTCTAGATTAATTTTGATACTACTTGTAGGGTCCAATATTTACATATACCGCATTGTGTCTTGTTAATGTTAAGACAGGCTAGTGCTACAGTTGGCAGTTTGTAGCTAGGGAGTTGGATTAATATTCCCTTCATTTGGCTAATCCAACATGTAAGCCCAGCAAAATTTCAAACGGTATAATATACATTCTGATATGTGATTAGTTCTAGACACCGTCTTGGAAAAGCATGCTCAGAAAAGGTTCGTTCTTGATAACAATACATTAGACTTAATTGAAGTTAAAGCTAATGCCCCAACTGAGAACGATGAAGATTCCGAAATGAGCTTCGGAGGGGATGCCACTCCAATGCAGCTGACATATATGATTAAGGCCATCGGTTTGGATCCCAAAACTACCAATGATACTGTGAAAATGTTCTTTGGGAGCAAAAAGCGAACTGGTGCTAAAGCGTCAAATGTGAAGTATCAGAAGGGAGATTGTGTTGCCTACATATCATACGATAACCAAACAGGTATGTAGTTTCCCAAATTGAATCTGATCAACAATACAATTTAAATTCATTTTCTTCAGGATTAATTATAATTCAGATCACATTCCGAATCATTCGCTGTGCAATCAAATTGAAATATTTACTGGCCTAGACTATTCTACTATACGACCTTAATTATATTCTGTTAAATTGTGATCAGATTTAGACACGGTAATGGAGAAGTATACAAGCAAACGTTTCGTTCTGGATAAACGCACATTGCAATTGATCAATGTGACCAGTGATCAAGAAAGTGATGCAGAAGATAGCGATAGAAGCATCGAAGTTGATGTTGAACCAAAAAAACCTACGCATACAATTAAAGTTACCGGTCTGAAGGCAGAAACAACACGTGACACTGTTGACATGTTCTTTGAAAATAGTAAAAGGACTGGGGCTGAAGCAAAGAATGTGGAGTACGAGGAAGGAGATTGTGTTGCCTTCATATCATATGATAACCAAACAGGTAAGTTAAGATTCGTTGATTTTCAGTGTTTTAAAGCTCAGTCAATGACTTAGATATTTAGCTTTGCCTCATCCTCGGTTTGTTTATGTGTTAGATTTCTTTTTATAACCAATCACACCTACTCAATACAGGATGTAATACAGTCCTGTGTTTACATTGAATTTGTAGATTTAGACAACGTCCTGCGACGACATGCTCAAAAAGCACTCAAGCTTGAAGGAAAGACATTAGAATTAAAGGAAGCAAAGGTGGAAAAAGAAGTTGAGGATGATAAAGATGCAGATTATGTAAATCCATATGAGGTAAAAAACAAGTTTAGAAAACACAAGAAAAATCTTTAAAAAAGGAACATGTCATAAATAAGCAAAAATCAGCATCCAGATCCTTGCAAATTACCACACAATTTAAGTATATTTGTGTTGGTACATATTACTTTTCATTCTAGGTGATTATTGGAGGTATAGACCTGGAGATAATGACACAGGATGCTATAACTATGTTCCTTACTTGGGCTTCAGGAGACAATGAGATCAAACAAATTCTCCAATGTACAAAGGAACGCCACATTCTTGTCCAATTCAAGGATATTATAGGTGCAGTATGTTATAGTAGTAGATGTCAGTAGAGATAAAGTCTTCATTATTTGACTTTATGATAGTGTGTGCTTCAAAAACTAAACATAGTAAACATTTTGCATTGAAACGAAGCTGGTTAATAATATTCTGAAATTATTAATGTTAATATAATTATTAAGATTATGGTTTGATGACGAGGAACATATCACGGAGACGCTTAGAAGATGTTCTGTTACAACTCCAGCCTGTCCCGATAACATCCACTATACAGGTAAGAACTACATAACACAGTGATAGCTGAACATTATGAATTTCTATATAGTACCCCACACACATTTTTATTGCCTACATATACTTTGATGACTACAGTAAAAAAGAAAAGGTTTACTCATGAAATGTTGCATACATTAATTTGAAATAATTTATGGCGCTGCCTAAAACTCTTTTTTACCTAAATAAAGCTTTTGCGACAATATGTAGCAAATTGAATCATGTTTAAACGCAAGACACACCCACTCCTAATACATATTAGATAATCAGAATATAAAAAACGATCCTATTGCAGATTTCATTCATACAGAATTCACAATATGCTAGAGAACCCGTTTGTCTGTCTATGTCAATAATCTGCAAAAGGCTAAAAAGCCCATTACAGCAGATTATTTGCTAAAAATTGGTCCTATATGCATGTCATTTGTGTGTTTTAGATTCGCAGGTTACCAGGCAACGTCAGTCAAGATATGCTACAGTTTTATTTTGAGCATCCAAAAAGTGGGGGAGGAGACATCAAAGAAGATGGAATAGAATTGCACCAGGATGAAGATTATGCACTGGTGACATTTTGTGATCACAAAGGTATTTTTGATTATACGTTGTAGTGCTTTGTACTATTAATGTTCTGCTAAGCAATATCTGAAAATGTCCAGTTTTTGAGGAATGATTATGCATGTTTTTATTTAGTAGGGCTGTTTAGATTCTAGTTGATAAAATTGGTTCACCTACATGTGATATGTTTGACTGTAAATGCGATAGGAATCAAAATCTTGCTAAACATTAAACACCATATGGTGAAGGGTTGAGTTGGATGGCCATCATTCCTCCAGTCGGACCCCCGTGAGCCGAGTCAAACCAAGTCACCATGGGTACAATTTAAGAAAGAAATATATAATACTGGCAAATTAGGAGGAATTACTGAAGTATAAATAAACACTTACGATTCATCATATTGTAAAATAGTAGGGAAGTACCTGGAAGACTATCATTAATAGATTTAATAACTATTTTTACTGAATTAAACAAAGCAAATATCACGATTGGGGGGCCTCAGTTGCCTAGTATAAAGTTCGGGCCAGTAAATGTGAGACCCTTTGCTTAGCCAGTGAGGCTTATACTATGTGTCCTATCATTTAATTGTCTTGATCATTTTTGAAATCGAAATCATTTCAATATACCTAAATTCTCAATGAAAACAATAAATTTTCAGTTCTTAACAAAGTGATACCAAGAGAGCATAAATTAGCTGGGTGCACTCTGTCCGTTCGACCATATCAGCCACATATAGGAGTGCTGGAAGCTTCCAACGACATACAATCGTACAATATTCCAGATATAACAAAATACAAACATTCTAAGCCTACAGGTATGTATCTTACACATTCTGATAGTTATCGCAACGTTACATATTATGTCTGAAGCAAAAAATTCCAAACTGACAAATGATACTGACATTACAATGCAGGTCATGATCTAAAGTGACAGATTTTAAATTTTTATTCAATCATTCCATAGTGCTATATATTTCAACTACATTGTACAATGATCGGGTGACACGACTCTCTATATTTCCGTGGTTATGATCATACATGAAATTAACAGATTTGGGATCTGCTTGTGTGATGAATACTACTTTCTATGCCTGGTTATAATAATGTGTCATATACTGCCCACTATGATTATTTGATTTGGTTTTATTGATTTAAGAAATGTTTTAAGGAAATTATTTTTGGAGAACGATCCCTAATAGGTCCTATATAGGTCATAATAGGTCCCATACCAATATACGTTTCGACCAACCGTTTGGCCGTCACCTCCTTTGTAACTTGATGCAAGGTTATCACGTGATATATTTCTCTTACAGGTGCTGACAAAACTAGAACTATAGAAGTCAGAGGTTCAGATCTTGATGAGGAGAAATTGAGTCTTTTCTTCAGTAACAAGAAACATTCTGGTGGAGATGACACTGCTGAAGTACAAGTGAAGTCCCCTAAAATAGCACTCATAACATATGACGATCATAAAGGTAGTGAGAAAACGTGTATCCACAAAAATTTTAGACACAAATTTATAGTCCTATGTTTTTGAGATAAAATGAATTGATGTATTTTAAAATTGAACTCATTCATATCAGAGGTAATATATTCGCTGAAGGATCCGTTATGACATGCTGTTAGTAAAAATTTATCCAGTTTATATAAAAAAATATTTCATACGTTTTTTTACAGTTGCGTCGCGAGTGCTAGGTAAACAATTGAGAGAAGTTTTTCAAACCCAGATAGAAGTCTCAGCTTCCCCTCCAAGGAAAATCTCTAAAATGGAGAAGAAATTGAACAATAATTGCATAGGCATTAAGGGAATTCCGACGTCTGCTGCCAAGGAGACAGTTCAACTATTCGTTGAGAGCATGAGCCAGCAGAGTGATCCAGAGATACATTATGGTTATGAGCCTGGGAGAGCATTGGTGAAATTTCAAGAGCCAATAGGTAAAGAACATATGAATCGCTCATGTAGTAATGCCCTGGTCACATTTGCACCGATTTTTACTACGGCGCCCGGCCGATTGAGTATATTGTTCAGAATTGAATGTTGAACAAAAAACTCAATCGGGCGGGCGCCGGCCGATGGATTGGAGCAAATGTGACCAGGGCATCAGCTAGGCTCTAACGTTTTCTAGGGTATTTCATTGAAACTTGAGAGTATAAACTTAAAGTATGCATTATTACATATGGTTACTAGATAGGTATTCGTTTCAGATGATTTTGAGCCGCTGGGGAATTTCACTAGGAAAAGGAAACTAGAAAATTGTGTTCTGAGTCTGGAGAAAATCTTTGAGTCCAATGCTATCCAGGTGTACAACGTAAATGAGAGAACCACAGAAGACTGTCTCGAGTTGTATTTCTCTTGTCCTAAATGGAGCAGAGGGGGCGATGTGGAGAAAATTGATTTGAAGAAAACTGAGCAACTTGCTATTGTCTACTTCATGGATTACAAAGGTAAATATTGAGTTAGTGAAATAATTTTCATAAAACCGTTAATCACGTTAGATAAATAGTTATGAGGTACTATATCTAGTTCTTAGTTAATCTTGTTCTTTTGTTCATATTTTCAGTCGTAGCCCAAGTGACAAGAAAGCAAACACATACTTTGAATGGTAGCAAAATGACAGTGAGAGTCTATCACGCTTTCCTTGGTCCAGTTGATAAGGACTTTGATACATCAACCCCCCACCTGAAGTTGCCTGAACCAATTGTCATTGCAATTGATCCAATGTGTGAAACATTTCTCAACAAGTACAACGTTCACTTAAATGGACTCCAGACAGCGATCCAACAGACCCATGGTAAGCTGAGAGCTGTACATCAGGAGCAGCTCGAAGTAGAATGTACTTTAACAAGAGAAACGAAGGGAGCCTTTCCCCTATGCCGAACGTGGACAGAAAATATGAACAAGACTATCAAAAATTACCTAGAAGCCTACAAGTGTGAATCGTTGACGGTCCTACAGGATGTTTTTGAACGAATGGACAAATTGGTAAAAGAAGCAGTGAATGATTTCAAAGAAATAATACTTGTAAGAAGGGAAAATACGGGCTACAACGTGTTTGGTACCAAAGGGAATGCAGAGGCTGCCAAGAACAAATTAAAGAGTGTTGAAAACACAATTGTGGCGGAACTAGAAAGAGAAAGGAGCATCATATGTGAAAAGGTTAAAAATCTCAAGAGCTGGGAAACGAGATTCTTACTCATGAACAGGTTCATAGCCACCCTTAAAGAAAAATTCAAAGATTTGGAAACAAAAATAGAGTTAAGTAAAGGTCAGCGAGATACCATTATACTAAAAGGTGTACCCCAGGACTGCACAGATTCTAAACTACACATTTACGAGCTACTAAAAACAGCTGTATGTAGATCTTCATCATTTCCTCCTGCAATATTGAACTTACACCAACAAGACCAATGTCGAAAGCATGTGATGGAGTGTTTAAAGACGAAAGGGCTTGAAGCTGTTTGGGAGGTCGAAGGAGAAGAGTTAAAAGTCTTTGGTAACTCTCAGAAAGAATCAGACGCGGCAATTAACTTTATTGGAGGTCTTGTGGTTGAAACCAAAATACAAGTGGACAGGAAATCATCTCAGCTACTGACAAACAACGACTGGAAGCAGCTCGTTACATCACTCAGTGAAAAACACAAAGGTCTTCTTGAAATCATACCAAAAGCAAATAACACAGACGTTGCCATAGTAAGCCTGAGAGAGTTTTCAAAATCTGTCAAAGATACCCTAACAAAATATTTGGATGACAACACAATACTTACCGAAAATATACTATGTAAACGGGGTTTCATCACGCTACTTCAAAAGTACCATAAAGACAAAATTAACAGTATTAAACAGAAAAACAAAAGTGCAAAGATCGAATTAAAATCAGACACTGCGCAGGTACTTTTGACAGCTTCTCGAAGAGAATGCCAAAGTGCCAAGATGGAAATACAGAAACTAATTGATGGTCTCCAAGAAAAACAAGTACCTGTTGACGAATCAGGAATGCCAAAGTATTTCTGTAGTGAAGAAGGTGGAAAGTTCCTGCTTGAGTTGGAGGAGAAACACAAGTGTGTGATTGGTATTGGTGGTAATGGTCCAAGTATGGGTGCAGGCGGTCATCTTGCTGCTAGAGAAACCCATGTGAATGCCAGACACAACGCCAGACACCAACGAGTCTTTGAGAGAAATCCACAACATGTAGTAGAAAGCACCTCTGTCGATAATGATGGTTAGTAAAAAGACAAGTTTTGTCTGACAAATGATATTTTCAAAAGTATTCACTTTCTGTACTACTATTTATAAAATCTTGTTTTCAGATCTTGCTGAAGGTTTTGAGATCAGTGCAGATGCTGACTCTGACTCACTGATAGTCAATGGTGGGATAAAAATCACTTTAGTGAGAGGGCAAATCATTGATCAAAAGGTACGTAGACCATTAGACAGGATAATGTTAGCAATTTTAATTGTAATGCATCTGTTTAATTAATAGACAAGAGAGCTTTAACATTGCTACGATAAGGCGTAGTTCCAATTAGGATCGAAATGGAGATATACCTGCGCTTGTCAATGTACAGGAAATGTATGTTTGCAATGTTGTCAGAGGATGAACACCGCGCACATATAAAAGTCCCTGCCTTTAATGTTTTAAGACAAGAGTCATTTTGGTAAGTGGCAATGTTTTACATGCATTTCAAACATCTGACCGAGACAGTCAATTTCTGTTTTAGTAAATAAAAGATGCATTCGAGTGGGAAAGGGGTGTTAAATATTATTTCTTTTCACGTTAGATCATGGTTTGGAATATGTGGGGTCTATTCTTCTTATGACAGGTTTCGTCTTTATAGGTTTCTTTATCAGGTTTCTTTACAGTTTGGGGTATTAGTGCATAGAAAATGGAGACTTAAAGCTGGTAATGTTTTCACAACGTAACCGCGAACCCAAATTCCATGAATCAGTACAGTAATGTACCGATATATAGCGCGCATGGCAAAACAAGTCTAAGGCTAATTAATATTTCAGATACCCTATCAGCGTCAGTACGTTTCGCGTTTGGAAATGGAGATTTTTGAAGAAAATGATGTCATAAATTCTTTAGCTCCAAATATCTTACGAAACGAGATTGTTTGAAATATGCATCATTGAAAACCAGCTATAACTATCACTAGCATATTACTCACTGCAGTGTGGTCTAAGTAACGGACTAAGTAAACACTGTAACAAAACGATTTTATACGCCAGCTTAATGTCTCCATTTTCCCGATTCTACAGTCAGATGTTAAAAATATCCTTCATTCACTTTGCTCCCTTCGGTGATTAAGTGTGCGCAGATGTTTAAAAATAAGAGAACTGGGTGTTATAGATAATTTTACTGGTTTACTTATTGACTAAATATCTAAGCACAAGTGTCAAAGGGAAAGGACCAAAAGTTGTAATGGAACTTAGCAAGAAAAAGAAAACTCTTAGTGCATACCAGTCAAGAAAAACAAACCCCATATATCCCAAAACCATGATTTAACGTGAAAAGAAACAATGTCTAATACCCCCTTTCCCCCACCATTCAAGAACCGATATCACAATCCAAAACCAGAACACCAAGGGACATTTCATTCATACTGAAGTTGTTACAATACATGTTGAAGAAAAAATTAGAAATTGATAGCCAATACTAATAACATCAAAAATAGATAAAATCCAGTCTCCAAGTCCATCTAGGCGTTTCAAAGGGTCAACGTCCATTCACAAAAGCCGTCGCCATAATCCAGAAAACACAATAATTCACAATGGTCATCAGGAGAAAACTATGGCTGGTTTCGTCCCTATTTCTCAACCATTAATGCCGGCAGCCGGGATCCACATTATCATTCATTTATTGATTCATAATGAAATACAGTGTCTATAGGCCAATGGCGGTTTACGGTTTATAAATTTTCTTTGTATCTTCATATCTTTGATTTACAGGTGGACATTCTTGTGAACTCAGTTGACCATTCACTTGACCTTTCAAAGGGAAAAGTTTCTGCCTCGTTGTTAAGGGTTGCTGGAAATGAACTGCAAAAGGAATGCAAAGAAAAGTATCCCAACGGCATAAAATATGGTGAAATAGCTGCCACAAAAGCATATAATCTCCAATGTAAAGGCGTATATCACGGACCCTGTAAAGGATACAAGGATCCGGAATGTGAAAAGGTACGAAAAATTCCCAATGGTATTTTTGAGTATATAAGTACTGACAGTCATGTTTCTTTGATTTTTTCTGACAACTCTGAACATTTTTAGCGTGGAATATGCTCTATAATTATATAATCATTTATCTGTTTCAGATCATATCAAAGCTCATACAAAACGCCTTATCTAGGACTGCAACTAAACAACACTCTTCGATCGCATTTCCGGCTCTTGGAAGTGGAAATCTCGGTGTGCCCAAACCAATGGTCGCAAAATGGATGTACAGAGAAGTTATGGACTTTGCTAAAACTGATGGTGAAGGTTCTTCAATTCAGAACGTCACATTTGTAGTTTATGACAAGGATATGGAAACAATACAAGTATGTGTATGGGAATTGTGAACCAGTGACTTGAATGCTATTTGGTTAATTATGAATCAATCGTATTAAAGACATATATCAACATACGTGTATGTCAATTTATTTCAGGCCTTTGAACATGAGTTAAACCGATTGAGAGAAATCGCTACGAGAATGACTAAACCAGAACATAATGACGCCTTAGTCCTCTCTGAAGAAGATGAAGATGATGATAGTAAGAGAAACTATATTCAGTATTCAAACATGACCGTGCTCTATTCGAATTTCTCAACCAATCAGAATGCAGCATAGCCAATATAGAACATTCTTTAATTAAGGAATAAATAATGATAGGCCATTCAATATGGTGAAATTCAGCACTCGTTGGACAGAATGTTGTACAAAGCACGAACCGAAGGTGAGTGCATTTGTACTAACATTCTGTCCAACGAGTGCTGAATTTCACCATATTGAATGGCCTATCATTATTTATTCCGATTCAAACATAAAAATTAGTAAAAGCCGTGTCTGTGGAACGGGCATGAAGGAAGAATACGCATGCTGTCAAGATTCTGAAGTCGGCCGGACGTTGGACAGAATGTTAGTACAAATGCACTCACCTTCGGTTCGTGCTTTGTACAACATTCTGTCCAACTCGTGCTGAATTTCACCATATTGAATGGCCTATCATTATTTATTCCGATTCAAACATAAAAATTAGTAAAAGCCGTGTCTGTGGAACGGGCATGAAGGAAGAATACACATGCTGTCAAGATTCTGAAGTCGGCCGGACGTTGGACAGAATGTTAGTACAAATGCACTCACCTTCGGTTCGTGCTTTGTACAACATTCTGTCCAACTCGTGCTGAATTTCACCATATTGAATGGCCTATCATTATTTATTCCTTAAACAGTACACTATGAAAATGACTAGAAACAAAGCTGACTTAGAAAAAACAATGTAGTAGATTATCCTACCTGCACCTTTAATTTATACATTATTTCAGATTTTGAACATGTGTCGAATGAGTATGATGACTTAAGTTCTAACGAGGAAGAACCTGAAAACCCGATGGAGGACTCTGATAATGACAGCGATTCTAGTGCCGATGATGATGATGATGATGATGATGATTCCACTGGAAACGACTTCATGCAAGGAAATAGTCAAGATACGATTATGTTAAAGTCTGGATTGAATATAACATTGGTCCGTGGAGAAATAGCAAAGCAAAATGTAAGTATATACGACCCATAAGAATTTTCAATACCATATAGAGGTTAGTATTTAGTATAGATTGCATATAATATCTATATCCTAATCTATATATATCACATCATATCTACACACACAATGCTCAGTGTTTCCTATTTCCCTTCCCCAATCGGACAAAAGAACAAAACCATATCGATTGAAATTTGCTTTAATTAGTTTATTTTATATATAATTGCTTTATACTATCTCTCTGTTCACCTTCTCAGGTTGATGTTATCGTCAATTCCACTAACCCTCAAATGAAACTCAACCAAGGTGCGGTCTCCACCTCTCTATTGAGTGCAGCAGGGCCGGGTCTACAGGCAGAATGTAAAAACAGGTTTCCCAATGGCATAACACCAGGTCAAGTAGCCGAGACTGCTGCCCAAGGGCAACTTTACTGTAAGGAAATATACCATGGTGTTTGTAAAGAGTGGAATAAAGGAAATGCAGATTCAGAAAAGGTGATTATGCTTACTACCAATGTATCTGTTCTAGGGTTCTACAATGTATACAATTTTGTGTTTTCATAAACCTGTACAGGAAAATGTCCTTTTTATGCTATCCTTATGAATTTCAGAGATCAATATATATTCTGCATCTATCGTTTTCAGTCAGTGAGACAGTTGATAACTGGATGTCTAACAGCTGCAGATGCCAAGGGCTACACGAGCATAGCATTTCCAGCTTTAGGGACTGGGAATTTGGGTATACCTAGAGACATGGCAGCCTATATCATGTACGATGAAGTTCGCGACTTGACCGAAGCTAATCCAATCAGTAACATTGATACTGTTAACTTTGTCGTCTATGACCAAGATTACAATACGATACAGGTGAGTCTTGTAGCAAAATATTGATGTGGTGTCAAGCCATTTCATGTTTTAACTTGACTCGTCAATTATAATGCATGGTTATTTGCAGGCGATGGTTGTTTTGACAGAGGATTATACTTTCGTCACCTTGTAGAGGTTCTGTTGCTTATCGTTAAAATTCATTAAGGCTGTGATATAAACAGATAAATTTTCAAGAAATACCCACTATGTTGTCAGCATGGCTCAAAAATAAGTTTACATCGGTTAAATGAATAAGTTATTGCTCCAGTAAAATGAATTGGGAATACAGATACAATAAACAATGATAGATTCCTTTCCATCTTATAGGTTTTTGAGGATAAACAAAGTGAATTACTCGGTGGTCACAACTCTAGTCCAGTGTATGCCTCCACACCTAGGAAACAATATAAATCGAAAAGGCAATCACCAAAGGGAGCTAAAAGCCACAAAGCACATAAACGTAGAGATGGTCGTTTATCACGTCAGACAAAGACATCACGTAGTGAACCAAAGAAACATAAACATGGTATTGCATTCGCTCAATATATATGAAAATGATTGAAGTATCTTGGATAGTTTAGATTTTGAGGTCATGACTCAATATGCGTTCATGAAGCAAAAATCTTCAACATTCACTTACTGTAACTGTATAAAGTTCATATTAAGTTTTATTAAAGGGCCTTTTATTTTCCCATCATTTTGAAAAACACATACATATATTGCAGACTCCATATTCAAGGACTTTAAAAAGATAGAGGGTGGGCATCAAATGAAGATTGGAGACATATGCCTGCAAGTATGCGAGGGTGATATAACTAAGTCAACTACAGATGCAATTGTAAACAGCACCAATGATCAACTTGATTTGGGAAGAGGTACACTGCGCAGGATATTGCTTTGAATGCTAATCCCCGACTGTTTCTAATATGATTTGTTCCTTCAGCATGAATCCTTAAATAGTAATGTATATATTATCAGAGCAGACCTTTTCCGGGATATTTGCCATATCCGAGACAAAACCGACAGGATTTAGCAAAATGTTCACTTGATTATTGTTTATGCTTCGTTACATACTTTCTATTTCTTTTTTGAAACAAGTTGTAAAGGTAAATAATTTGTTTTATCTCGTTTGGCTACAGGCGCAGTTTCTAAAGCAATTGTTAAATCTGGAGGGAATGTTATCAAGTCTGATTGTGAGCGAGGTGAGATATATTTCTTTTATGCTCATCTAAATCTTTGTTAATTTTTAAGAGTCTTGACAAAATTAATCTAGTTTGACCTTCAAGCTTAACTATTTTACATCTTTATTATTTGGTCTTTACATTAGAATATGATACACCAACGTTTGAAAATAATCGGTTTATATACTACCAAGCTGCGGTTTCACAAAACTATCTATTTTAGGAAAAGATCAGATGTCTGATGGGTTGCTTTTAACCAATAGCGGAAAATTACCATGCAAATCCATCATTCATATGGCAGTGTCTCCAGATGAGAAAAAGTGGAAGAAACTTGTGGAAAAGTGTTTAAAAAAAGCAGATGAAACTAAGTTTACGTCCATCACGTTTCCTGCATTGGGAACAGGTAGTTATTTTACTCACATAATGGTACTTCTTTAAACCTTACTTATACCTCGTTAGTTTGATTTAAAGGTTGAGTATACACTATCTAATTATTAGACTCCAGATTGAAAATCTGGAGTCTATTGCTTTTGCCAGTTTTCTTATTCTTTCTTTCTTTCTTTCTTTCTTTCTTTCTTTCTTTCTGAACACTTTTTCTCAGCAACTAGAAGAACTTACTTTAACCTACTTACATGGCTAACATAACCCATCAACCTAGTTTCTGGGAAATTAGGTCAAATTTGTATCTAGGTCAAAGGTCAAGAACTAGGTCAAATTTAGGTCAAATCAACATTCTGTCAATTATCTTCGTTGTTGTTTGTTGTTAGTTCTTTATATTTTTTTCATCATGTAGCTTAGAAAAAACAAATCGAGAATATGCCATCCGTTTTTTGATTACTCTTACCGATTTTGAGATATGGCGTCCGGAAAGTAGGTCAAACTAAAAAGTTAACCAAATTTAACATATGAGCTATGAAATAAGTGTAAAATTTTCTCAGGAATCTGAATCTGCAAACCAAATTCCGATCTGACATCCGGTTCAAAAGTCATGGCGTTTTGAAAATTTCAAGAAAAATCGATCTGATGATATCCTGATAGAAAGTCAAGAGTAGCAAAGAAAATATAGAAAAAATCATACATCCTTCCTTCCTATCTTGTTTGATCATATCCTTCCTATCTATCCTTCCTTTCTATCCTTTCCTTCCTATCCTATCCTTCCTTTCTATTCTATATCCTATCCTATCCTAGAACTGGGTCAAATCTTACATTTTCAATATTCTATCAATTATCTTTGTCATTATTTATCGAAACATCTTCATCTTTTTTCATCATGTAGCTTATAAACAGCCCTTTTATAATTGTGCCATCCGTTTTTTGATTACTCTTACTGATTTTGAAATATGGCGTCTGGAAAGTAGGTCAAAACAAAAAGTTCTCCAAATTCAATGTATGAATTATGAATTAGGGGTAGAATTTTGTCAGGAATCCGAATCTGCAAACCAGATTTCAATCCGACTCTCGGATGATCGGAAGTTATGGCGTTTTGGAAGCTCAAAAATCGCTAAATTTGGTACTATGTCGATGAGTAAAACTCAGCTACCTACTCAGCTACTTACTCAGCTACCTACTCAGCTGCTTACTCAGCTACCTACTCAGGTACTTACTCAATTACTTAATCATCTACTTACTCAACTTCCTACCCAGTTACTTACCCAGCTCTTTATTCAAGTAAATCAATCTGGAGTCTTAAATTGAACTTTGTTCAATTTACCAATCTAGTTATCAATCTTATCTAATATTCCAATATTTCAGAGTAACATTTGTTCCATAAATGTGTTTTGACTGGTCAAGGTATCATATAATGAAGGTTTGTATCATATAGTTGTATGTCAATTATTTGTAGGTGCATTAGGTCAGTCACCAGGTGCAATGGCAAGCATGATGATAGAGGGCATTGCAGATTTCACGATAAATACCCAAGCACAACAAATTACCCTAGTGAAAATTTTTGTTTTCCAAAAAGAGCATGGTAAACCGTTCTGGGGCGTTATGCAGAATATGATTGGTAAACCTTATAGTCCGAACAAGGGTTTCTTTCACAATTTAGGACGCGGTGTGAAAAACATTATCTCTGCAACAGGAGGTCAGTTGTTTAACAATCGGGGGACTGTAGTGTCACTTCTGTTTTTTTCTCATTGTATTTATAAATATTTGCACCTAACAACATGGGTTTAAGCAACCGGCATTATAATAAGCAAGCTTTTAGGCCTCGTCTTTAGATTACTGTAGACTACATTATAGATTACATATAGTTATCCCCCGGGGTTGTCCCAAATATGATATGAATGATTACTAGTCATATTCTTTATAATACATAGGAATTATTGTATTTTCAAAGATTTCTTTGGACTAACGAGCTCTGCATCCCCCACAACACACATGGAACAACCTGCAAAGAAACAAATCCTCATCATAGATATCTACTCTGATAATATACCGTCTATTGATAAAGCTGAGGATGCAATTAAAGAGTGTATACGGAATAAACATATTACAAAAGATGTGACAAATGAGGGGATCGCTCAGTTCAATGACGATCTGGTTTGTATATAAAGTGTAACTTACAACGAGTGTAAATATTTATTTTTAATGCTCTTTCGTACTTTTCAATTTGGTCCATGCGCCAACATATTCAGTTACACCGATTCTCTTTGTAGATGCGCGACATTAAACAATTTGCAGCATCATATGCAGTTGACTGTAGCAGAAGACATGATAATATTCGCCTGCGCGGGGTAAAAGACGATGTTGGGATAGTTTCAGAGAAGATTACTGACATCCTGATAAAGATAGCCAATGAAGCCAGGGAAAAGGCTGAACGTGAGAAGGAGATGGCAGACGCTAAAACCCTAGCAAAAACGGTTTGTAGCTATTAATATTATTATCTTATAATCTGAGTTCAAATCAATCAAATCAAGGAATTCATTGTTAACTTATTGCATGCATTGATTATTCATTGTAACATGGGAACATTCTAGTTGGGATGTGTCACCGATTTCAGTATCTAGTTGAACTTCCCTTCGGGTACTTTTTTCCCTGTTCAAAAGACCCTTCCGATGAGGTAAAACTGTTTTTTATGTTCAGCATTAACTCATAAACATGATCAATGGTCTTTTATTAAAAAGGTACAATGGTGCTACACCGACGTTGATGGGACCGATAAAAAATATGATCCAATAACAAACCGCAACATTGAAAATGCCTACAATGCAAAAAAGAAGCACTTTGATTACAAACGAAAAAATGGAACACCAAGTAGAATAACGTTCGACAATGGTGATATGAAGGATACTGAGTACAGAACAAACAAAAAGTATTCAGTGAACAGAACTACGCCGTCGGATGGTAATGATAAGTACTGAGAACATGTTGTCATCTGCTGAAAATATATCCCGTTCTAATTCACAGTTTACACAGACTAAATTTAACTTCCCTAAAAATGAGTGAATTTAAAGATTTATATTTTGTGTATTTTTAGCAACAGTGACCTGGCGCTTAGCTCTTACTTAAAATCTATGTCTTTGATTTCTCGATTTTTCTTCCATCGTTGGTGAAACTACATGAGGTTGTATGCAATGAGGTTCAGATAACAAATGCAGTTTGTTAATAACCAGCGCAGTCTTCGAATTATTATTTTACTCATTTTAGATAAAATAAACCTGCCTAAAACTTGGACTGATAATAAGGGAAAAAGAATGATCACTGTTGCGTTGACAAATGGATCTGCTGAGTATAACAAGGTGTCCCAGATATTTATGGGGAGTATAGGACAAAGAAATATAAACCAGGTAGCTTATTGTATTATAAAAAATTTCTATATTAAGGTCGATCTTGGTAAAAAAGTGTTCATGAAACTGATGGGTAAATTAACCCTTAAACGGTTAGGGGTAGGGGGCAGATCTGCCCCCTCTTATGATTTTCTCGATAACTTTTTTCGTAGTCTTTGATCTTTTGTTCTGAAACTTTTTGGATTTTCTTAAAATTGAATTAGGCATGTTTAAGCAAAAAAAAACATAGGAGGAAAGTTATGCCTAGTCAAAGTCAAAAAGTTGAAATACCCAAATTGTCAGTAGTTTTGACTTGCAACGATGATATATAAGATATTGACCACGAATACAACTCTAGAAGCATGGGGTTCAAGGTTCAATTGTGCCAATTCAAATATGAATTTAAACCCATACTGTATGACTGAGTTATTAACATTTGTTTGGGCTTCCTTTTTTGGCCAACCCTGTACATGATTATGAGTACCATTCACAAAAATGTTCAAATATGTTTGCCATTGTAACTTCTGAAGAAAAAAATGAAATGGATTGAACCCTGAATTTCTTAACAAAAGCTGTTTAAAAATTGAATAACTGGTGAATGTTTTTTTCTTACCATGTATTGTTTTTCTTTAGATCTTGCGAATTCAACACCCAACAAGATACCGCCAATACATGATTACAAAACAAGAAATGGAGAAGAAAAATGGCAAAACGTTTCAAAATGAACGGACGCTTTTTCATGGAACCGATGCTAATTCTATTGATAACATAAATAGCGATGGGTTTAATCGTAGCTATTGTGGAAAAAATGGTAAGAGTCATAACATAAAAATAGAAACAGCAGTTGCCAGACACTACTGATTATACATTTTTATATTTGAAAATGCCTCAACTCGACAGATGTGAACTCAATGTTACTTAAACTTTATGGATCTAAACGCCGCCATATTAGTCCTGTAAAAACAAACTTTCCATCGTTGAAAAAATGAAATCAGACAAAGATTTACTAATTGAACTTCTCGGTGGTCGATGAAATATAGTACCCTCTGTAAAGAAAAAAAGGTGCATGGTCCTTTATAAATTTTGTATAACATTACTTAACTCTTAGAGGCACATTGCATGTGAATAACTGGTAGAAATTTTTAAGAATTAGATAGACATTTAAAAAAGTTAGCAATAGATAAAATATTGTTCCACAAACTCACTAATGTGACCTTAAAATTACGTCATAACTTACACTTTGCTATTATACAGTGTACATTTCCCTCTAAGCCTAGGATATCATTCTCTATATGTTATATTCTTCATACAATTGTAAAGCCCATTCCAAACTAGTCGTAACTGACAAGTTCGAAAAATAAACATTGACACACTGACAGAAAATTATGGAGGTGCCAAAACCCGTCTTAAACATGATTTTAGACAATTTCACGCCTTCAATAGCAGTGAAATTAGGGATAGGATGTAACCATTTTGCTCAATAAACACATTTGTATACCAAACCTGACATAAATGGTATGCATAAGCTAAGTATAGGATGTATAACATACTATCCTATGCCAAGTAGAGTTTTAGGGAGATAAGTTGGTAAGATATATCCCGTATCCTGATTTTGAGGTTTCCATATCCTGAACCTCCATATCTCCCGCCATATCTCCCGCTCCAGGGCATATCTTCCCGCTTCGAAAAAAAATTTTGAAAAATAAGAAAAAATTGAAAAAAAGAAAATATGTGAAAAAATAAAAATTGAAAAAATAAAAAAAATAGAAAAAAAATTTGAAAAAATTAGAAAAATGTGAAAAAATTGAAAAAATAAAAAATAATTGAAAAAAATTGAAAGAAAATTAGAAAACTCTACTTGGTATAGGATAAAGCAGTTATGTACGGTCGGTTTGTATATTGGGTCCATCCCTCGTGAGATATGCACATCTACCTTCGGTCCCTACGGTCCCTTAGGAAGATATGCATATCTCCCTCTGGATAAACCCCATATCCAAAACCTCCCAGTACATAACCCTTATTTAATGGGTCATTGAGAAATATTAGGGTTATAATTATCTTACAATTTCAAGTTTATCGTAATATATGTCACCCCTAATTTTGACCTGAGAAGATAACTCAGAATCTAAAGGATATTACCTCGAATTCTATCACAAAATAGTTATAATTAATCGGACGTTTATTCTATAACAGAAATATTTTTCACAAAGTTTTATTTGATTGAAAACTTTTTTTAATGGTGTGTTCCTCTAAATGTAACTAACAATTTAATTTCATGTCTCAGAAGATCTTTAGCACATATAGGAATTTTCTTTATGACGTCAGTTTATGGTAAAAAGTCATACTCACGATTTTGGGAGTTGTTATATTCAACCATTTCTAACGTTTTACCATATTTAAGAAATTCTTTAAAATTTTCTCCATTTGGTAAAGTATTCACACATTATATCTCTGAAAGTTTGGTATGATAGTTATAAAAAATAAAAATAAATGATTGATAAAGAACAATGCATCTTTTTTACAGAGGGTATGTTTGTTTTGGATCATGTATTACACCTTATATTAAATACCATCTTATTAATATTTATGTACCGTATACCTTATACATGAACATCACAATTATTACAGCAACGATGTATGGACAAGGAGTATATTTTGCTCTCAGTGCGCAATACTCCGACGGTTACGCTAGACAAGGACACAATGGTAAAAATATGTATATCGCCAAGGTTCTAACTGGACAGTCAACTGTTGGAAATTCTGGTATGATTGTTCCCCCAAAAATGCCAGGTGGAAGTGATCGATATGACTCTGTGACTGACGGTGGACCAAGCATGTATGTGATATTCCATGATTCACAGGCTTATCCAGAGTATTTGGTCAACTACCGGTGATTTGAATAAAAGTGCTGCAAGAAAGGATGTAAGGGATGTTTAGATATGAGTATCAACTGTTGGTTTATTTTTTGCGATTCTC